GAACTGAGAAACTTGTCCAACATTTCGAAGGGATTGAATACTCAACGAGTCAAATATCTTATTCAGGCCATGCTGAAAGATACGAATTTCCGATCAGACGAGAAAACAAAAATGATAAGCACAACAGAACCTGAAGTTTTGAAGGGCCACTGAGTCGAACGGAGTTTATTTTGTCCTGGAGCAATTGATCATCACCGACCATTACCTCAGCACCATCTACCACAACATGCTCCATAATTTCACCCCGATGAATTCTGTCCCTGCAATAGCTTCTGTACGGCAACCCACAGAGTTCTCTGCCACACACATGCAATACAGATGCAGCCACATGAGAACAAACCATGCAATATCATAATGCATCAAAAAATTAAAACAGAAATGAAAGGGAACTATCATGGAAATTAGAGAAATGTAATGTACAAATTCAATTCGATTTTTTTTTTTTTCTTTTCGGCCATGGGCAGATAGTGTAGACGCATAAGGAAAGCATTGACAACTGACCTGAATCTGAAACGAAATGGAGTGAAGAAAGGAAGATGGTGAGAGAAGGCGGTACAGCGAATTGGAGGGATGGAGCTGTGAGGAAGCGAACTCATGAGCGAGCAGAGTTCTACATCCTATATGCGTTTTGGGGCAAAATTTCATTTCTTGTCCATTGGTCATTTTCCCGGAAAGATACAACATTTTGACAGACATCAAACTTTGTACAATAAATTGAAAAATTCATCATAGTTGGTTCAATAATCAGCCGATCCGAATAATTTGACTACGTGTCATTATTGGTATTCTTCACGTCATTTTTTTAGTCGAATTAATTTTCAGGTGGCGATGACTGGGTAAATGTCAGTCCAAGAAATTTTATTTTTGGTCCATTATATTGGTCATTTCTAGGAAATATCCAACATTTTAGCATATATCAAACTTAGTGCAATAAGTTGAAAAATTCATCATATTTGGTCCAATAATCAGGCGATCCGGATAATTTGCCTACATGTCATGATTGGTATTTTCCACGTCATTTTTCAAGCCAAATTAATTTCAGGTTCTGCGGCCACATGGCATCGCACAATTTTTCTTTAAATTATCGCCAGCCATGATCTTCAAAATTCTATAAAAATTGTGAGAAAACACCGATAGTCCCTTATTACGGTAAAAAGACTAAGATTTTCCACAAACGACGCAAATTTGATACGCAAATTATCTTGACTGCTCCAATAACCTGCAATACGCCAGGAGAAGTCCCGGTAGAAAAGACTCCGACATTCAAGTCAATACAAGAACGTGGTAAAATGGGCAGAATATCGAGAATGCTTGTGTGTATATATGTGTGTTATGTGTAAAGTAAATAACCTGCCACCCTTATATAGATTGGGTTGCTTGCTGCCCAATAGAGTCTTGGTTAGGAAAGAGATTATCATATCTACTTTTCTAACTAGCCATGCCTTTAGAATCATTATTCTTTGATGAGATAGAATTTTCATCCCAAAAGGATTCTTTCTTCTCCAGGGCTTTGGAAATCCAGAGGTCGTGGTCCATTCTCCTCACCTCTTATGCCACGTGTGCTACCCTCATGTCGTTCCAACCTCCTTGCATTGCCAACCTCAGCAACCTACTATCATAAAGTTTATATTCTAGATATTCGAGCTCCTTAGGTTTTCTGACCCCCAAGCTACCAATTCTGTCGAGCTTCCCTTAGTGTTCTGCCGATTCCCTGAACCGGTTGACTTGTTTCGTCGTATCCAATTCAGCGAGCTACTTTGGGTGTTATATGACAAATAAACTGCATAATTAACAGTTATGCAATGCTTTGTCACATATATACCACAGCACATATCCGAAGCAGGTGCATCGTTGACAATTATGCAAAAAAATATTTACATGATTATGCAAAACAAATTCACATAGTTCACATATTGAAAAACTAAAAATATTTTTAGTTTTCGAGTACCCAAATCGAACATCACATATTTTATGATTATGCAAAACAATATCACATAGTTTACATATTGCATATCGAGATAACGCAATATAATTAAAAATTATGCGTAATATTTTTTCATATTCCAGAATCGCATCCAAATTGAAAATCGTATAACTTACGTCTATCCACCATTTTATCGCAAACTCGATACACATATGTTTCGTAAATTTTATGCATTGCATGGATTGTATGATTTTTCACGTAATGACTTAAGACAAATGTCATGTACCTATTCATTAGTTGAGTTGATGTATATATACCACCATTTACTACTTATTAATTGTACGGTTTAAATGCTAACCTTTCAGGAAAAATGGTTTTTTATTTAGTTTGTTCATACATTTTCTGACACAACCATAACCTTAAAAAGTTTCAAATTTATTACAGAAGGAGACCGATGCTCATGAATTTTTCCTTTAGTACGGATTCCCTCAGTATCGTGAGTGTTACGAGGTTTTTATTGAGCGCAACGCTGCGGCGATCAGCTTGGAGGGCGGGCCTGGTGCTTCAGTTGAAAACCCAATATAGGGGGAAGACATAAATGGTGATAAAAACGACGATGGTGGTGATGATAAGAACCTTCAGCCGCCACCAAAGGTGGAAGTCATCGATTTTGACCCTTAGAATCCATCAGATTAAATTGTAGAAACCACATGTGATCAATTTACGTTGTTTTCTATGGGAATGAGAAAGGTCACAGTCCAACATTCCCAGTCATCGCCACCTATAAATTAATTTGGCTCGAAAAATGACGTGAAACTACCAATCATGACACGTAGGCAAATTATCCAGACCGCCTGATTATTGGACCAAATATGATTATTTTTTAACTTATTGTACTAACTTTAATGTCTGCCAAAATGTGGGATCTTTCCTGGAAAATAGTCAATATAATGGACCAAAAATGAAATTTTGCCTGGACTGGCAATTGCCCAATTATCGCCACCTGGAAATTAATTGGTTTGAAAAATGACGTGAAAAATACTAATCATGACACGTAGGCAAATTATCTGAATCGCCTGATTATTGGACTAAATATGATAAATTTTTCAACTTATTGTACTAAATTTGATGTCTACCAAAATGTTGGATCTTTCCTGAAAAATGACCAATATAATAGATCAAAAATGAAATTTTACATGCGTTTTAGTACAGACCTAGTGCCTTTTATTTTTGGCATTTTAATATCTCCCTATATATAATTGTAGAATGAGTGGAGCCTAAGTGATAGATTGGCACGCTTCGAAATCCTATGTGGCAAAAAACCTTGCTTCATAGCTAGGCTTTGATAAAAATTAGTATTTTTTATAAAATAATAATTAGTCTTGGATTGCAAAAAATATCTATATTATTCAAATTTTTATCTCTTTATTATTTTCTTATACAATTAGTTAGCATAAACTATTTTAGGTTTCCTTTTCCTACATTATCATATATTAAATTTCCTTTTCTTATTTAACTCATTCACTAATTATCATAAATGTGTCTTCTTATTTTTTAAATTTTATAACTTTTCTGTTTGTATTTTTGTATATAGACACATCAAATTAATTACTATCCATACTACATATACAAAATACAAAAAAAAATGATATATATCCTTATAAATAAAATTTAAATTAATTTATCAAACTAAATTAAAAAGTATAAAAAAAAATACAAATTATCTTATGAAGCAATATAAATTGATTTATATTAACATATCAAGAAATGTTTATTTTAATTGAAAATAATATATATAAACTAAGTATGAACATAAAAAAATATTTTAAAATTGATGCCTCAACTTAAATAAGGGCTATAAAGAGATTGAACAATATAATGATCTTAAAAGTAAAAAAATAATGTTAATTATAATTAAAAATAATAAAAATAAATATATTGTATTTATAAAGTTTAAAAACACATTATATTTTAAATTATTGGATATTATAAAGTTTAAGATATTTAAAAATATAATGGATGAGGGAAGAAAATTGTGTATATAAAATACTAATCAAACTTGGAAATATTTTAGACTAATTCAAAATAAAATTAGTGAGTTGTAGATAATATAAATCTCTCTCTCTCTCCTTCTCTCTCTCTCTCTCTCCCACTCTCTCTCTCTCTATATATATAAATATAAAATTGTGTGTGTGTGTGTGTGGTAATATTAAAAAATATCATTTTAACAAACCGAGTGTAAAATAGAGGTATTATTTTAAATAATTAAATTTGTTAATTTTTAAATTATTAATTTTATACTTAATTTTTTATCATTATATTATGAGAATATAAATTTCTTTACTTATTTCTTTTGATAATAATATTTTATTTTTATTTTAATGCACCTCTGTTGCTCATGAGTGTTATATTAAATGCATAATAAATAAATTATTCTATTTAATTTAAAAAATAGATTTTTTTTAAATAAAATATATAACATCTCATACAAAATATTTTTAGAATTTAAAATAATATTAAAAATTATTTTAGTTTATTATTAATTACTTATATTTTCGCAATAAGAATTTTATTTATTTTTTATTATTTGTTGCACAATTAATTTTTTTTCAAACACTCGCGTAGTACACGGGCGTTGTACTAGATTAACAGGTACACATGGATATCAATATTTAAAATAATTTTATTATAGTTACAATACGAGAAAATAATATTAAAAATTATTTTATAAGATATTATTTTTATATTATAATTAACTTTAAAAATTAAATATTAGATAACATGATTTTTTCGTGATATGTTACTCAATTATAAAAATTATACACATAAAAATTGTTGGAAATTCTTTATTTGCGCCGTTAGAAACTTTAATTTGAGATGGAAAAGTTGTTGAATAATTTTTAAATGGATATTTATTTTTTACTGAAAAAAAATTACGTCATTAAATTAGATATATTGACAATAATTTTAAATATAATTTGCATTGAATAATAATTAGATATGATATTATTTAAGTTAAATAATTCAAAAGGTTAATTAAAAATTATATTATTTAAATTAAAGAAATAAATAATAAAAAACATAGCAATTTATCAATAAAGAACAAATATGAGAATGTTTGACAATGGTACTGATCCTTTTAGAACTCATGGAAATTAGGATAATGTGATAATTTTCATATATTCAAATACTATGAAATAAAATGAATTAAATAAAAACTCATTCTAGTCTATTTCTTAGTGTTGTCTAATTTAGAAAAATGTTTGATAATATTTATTTATTAATATGATTGTGACAATCTAAATTGAAAAATCCATGTAATCGTATAAATAACATAAAAAATACGTCATATTTTTGCATTAAATTAAGTGAAAACCAACATTTTCTTTTATAGCCCAATAAAGTTTCAAATAATTATAATTTATACAATTGTTTTCCAAAATAACTCAATGGTAAATTAAGTGAAAATCACATTTTCTTTTATAGTTTAATAAAGTTTCAAAATACAGTCATATTTTATACAATTGTTTTGAAAAACAAAATGTGAAACGTAATTTGCACAAAAATAATAATAAAAAAAAAATTGTAAAAGAATTGTATATTATAATTTTCACTCTTATTTGGTATGTCTGAATCCAACAATGATAATTTTCTAACCTTGCGAAATTGCACCTCCAACACATTATGTAATCCGAAGAAAAGAGTACTACATGGGGTATTATTTAGGAGATAATCTATGTGTCAAATGGTCAAGTCTTGTCCAAACTTTTGTGACCCACGTAGTCCGAAAAAACTATTTTGTAATTCAATAAGAAGCATGCAAAAAGGATGTTGAGCGTGCATTTGGAGTACTCCAAAATTGATTTGATATTGTGTCTAATCACGCCCTATTTTGGAGTAAAAATGACATACAATATATAATTACTATTTTCATAATATGATAATTGAGGATGAACGAGATCTTGATGCACCGATCGAAGCAGCGATAGAGGTCCCGATCCCAGATGTTGAAACAGTGTGTACTGACACCTCTCAGTTCCATGCATTTGTTTTTGGATACAGAAAAAATTGAGATAAAGAAACTCATATCGCTCTTTGTAATGTATTGATTGATCATTTATTAGAGGATTTTCTAATTTAGAAATTTAGATGTAATGTTATTGTAATCGGTTTTTCTAATGGTTAACTTTTTTTTCATATTAATATGTAATTTATATTCCTATTATTTGAATTTATGAAGCAATCATGTGTTGTTATACATAAACATTTTTTATTTTTTGGGTGACAAAATATTATATATTTAAATATATATTATATATGGGTTAAATATACATATATATTTTAATTTATTTGGAATTAAAGAGAATAAAAAGAGTATATTTAATATAGAGTAAAATGCAATGTGAAGGATTGGGCATGCAACTTAAATTTGAGCTTACTCTACTTTAGAGTAGGGCTGCAAACGAGTCAAGCGGCTCACGTGGTACTCGCGAACGCTCGAATCAAAGCTTGACTTGAGCTCGAGCTTGACCGAACTAGTTTCGAGCTCGAGCTGCTAGAGTATGTTATCGAGTCGATCTCGAGCCCAAATTTTCAAAGGTCGAGCTGCTCGTCTATATGCGGCAAAAATACTTAAATATCCTTTATATATATGTAATTCACAAAATTGTCATAGGTGCATAATTTTATAGTTGTTAAAATTTGAGCCAAACTCGAGTTGATTTCTAGCATCGAACCAATCTCGGGCATCGAGTCGATCTCGAGCATTTCTATTTGTTTCACGAGTCGAGCTCGAGCGTCATTTTCATGGCTCCTCGAGCTCGAGCTTGAGCAATGAACGAAAAAAAAAAAAAAAAAAAATCGATCTACGCTCATCAATGTTTATGCTCGACTCGACTTGGATCGTTTGCAGTGGTACATCTTGTCTTTTTCTCTACTCTATTATAGGGCAGATCCACAAAGCTAGTGTATCTACTGCAGCCTATTGTAATTTTTTCTCCCAACAGCCTAGTCCAATAATAGCAAGCCAAGAAAGAGTCTACAACACATGCCACCATCCCGTTGAAAATCACAATTACACACCAAAGAGAAAAAGACGAACATTACAGAACTGCACACACAAGAAAAAGAATAAAAAAAATTTTAGTAACACTCAACAACAACACAAAGGGCACACAATCACCCCATTCTCGTTACACTGGGAGCAAACGTCTCGACCCCCCTCCAGCGGCACGACTTTGCGGCTGCCATGACAAGTGAGACAGACGATGAATCTAAAGCCAAGGCAGGCGACACAAGGCCCCCTCATCTTGTCTTGGGTGGGGATTCCGAGCATGAGTGGCCTAAGTTCCCCGCGCTCGTGCAGCCCCAACACCTCCTCTGCCCCTCCCACATACCTCCCCTTCACAAACACCCTCGGGGGCACCGCCCTCTCCCCCAACACCCCCCACAGCTCCTCCTTGAAAACCGCGTGCATCGAAATGTCTCTTTCCACAAACCACACTCTCAGATTCTCCAGCAACGACCGAACCCTCTGGCACTCCTCGAAAGTCTTTCTGATCCCTCTCAGACTCGTCGTGTATACAATCACCAAACTCCCACCGCCCGGACACCTCTCCTCGAATTCTGTCAGAGGATCCAATGTTTTTTTTCCTTTCCCAACATTTATCATCGATCTTCTGCCGACCTCTCGTGCAACCCTGGCATCTGTGACCGCCCGCTCGAAGGCTGCCAGAAGATGAGGGTCGAAAAGGGTCCTCGAATTCGGATCCGGCCGTCTGAAATCGTCCAGCGGCCTAACATTCTCTTTGTCGCTGTTTTTGCTCACAATCAACGTCTCACCATCATCATCATCATCAGAGTCCAGATCTTTCATCAGCTCTGCCACATCAATTATCTCGGGTTCTTGGACCAATAAATTGACATTCTTGGGCGATTTTTGCGGGGATGTGTGGTTAAAGTAGCCATCAACTAATGCATTTACCTGGAGAATTCGTTCGGGCTTAAGGTACCCAATACTCTTCATTGTCTTGAGCTTCTTCAGTAGTTTCCCTTTCACACCCTTCATCTCTCTTCTCTATTTCTCTCTCTAAAATAGGATTTTGGGAGAAAGGGTGTTTTTGTTTAGTGTTTGCAGGCAGAGCTTTTGTGTGGTCTTTTTCATCAGTGGTTTGGAATTTGGATGGTGAGACGAAAAAGAGAGAGGTGGGGTGGGGATGATGACAAGGGCGTTTTAACGGCTAGTAAGCTTTTTTACTTGGCATTTTAAAATGCGAAAGTTATTTGGTGCGGCAAGGTGCACTGCAGTTTGAGTGGGTTACAGGGTTCTGATACTGTGTTTTCAGTCTATGGAAAGACGGTGTGCCCGGACTTCCGCAGCCACGCGTCATCTTTTAACTTGTATTGATTCATTTGTTTACAAAAGGACTTGGTCCATGTACCATATGTGCCCGTTTGATGCAGCTTGCAAGTTGTAATATATAATATAATACTAGTTTGATTTCCTCTAAATTAGTTTTTATTCAACTTTTAGCATAATAATTATAATACAACTGTATATTTCTAAAGATAATTTGTAATTAGCGTTCTATAATATCTATATATATTGAAAAAGAGAAGTCAATAAATCATTTGTGGAAATTTTTAAAAAATAATGAGTCAACCATGTTTACATACTAATTATAGCAATCTTTTAAAAACTATGCAATTTGAAATTTTGAATTATTATTTTTTTCCGGTCGGTTTTGAATTATTATTTTGTTCCACAAAGATTTCACATCTTATCAATTACCTTCGATTTTATTTTCGTAAAATATGTTAACAAATTTTTAATTTTATGTTCTTATTCTGTTTTATCCCAACAATCCCGCAACATCAATTCCGTGAAAACTGTTTATTGAAACTCGGATACACAATTATCTCCTCAAATACGGAACTCCTTCAGAGAATAGAAACCCTGTGCTATCCGTATACAAGGAGAGCTCGATCCAAGAGATCTCAACTCACACCGCGATAGAGAAATGCCCAAAGACCACAATAACTGCTCTAAGCAAGAAAAGACCGCCGCAGACCCAACGAACATCATCATCGTCGTTGGCCGAATTCCAAAAGGGAAGCGAGGCTGAGATCCGTAGTTCTTCATAGCGCAATCCTTTCGGGCATAAGAGTTTTGTATAATGTTAAGCTGACGTTCTGGTTCGACATCTTCAAAGTAAGTTTTTCTAAATTTTTATAATGTTTTCTCTTAACACTTGCTTTTTTAACTATGCAAATTGATCTCTGATTGTGTTATATTTCCTTTCTTTTCTTTTTTTCAGAACATTGACAAAATACGAAATGTCAGCTGCCCAGTTTTAGTCATACATGTAAGAAATCTATCACTTTTGTCCTTTCTTACTCCAAATTACATTTGAATATCTCTGGACTGTTGTTACTGGCTGAAATAATATAAATTATGTGTAAAATTTAATAAGCAAGTCATTTATGATGTGTTTCGATTGTGATTCTTATATGTGTAACCATTTTTCACATTCTTTGATCAAATATATTCATCTTCGTGACTTCGTCTCATATTCAAGCTAAGTTGACTCGAGTAATAGAGTGGTTCCATTCTTGTATGTTACTCTTAATTAGATATGATTATTCATGGTTTAGAAAAGACAAGATTTATAGTAATCTTTGGCTGTCTCCTTCAGTCCATATAGGAAACTGCAATCACCTTAAACACTGACTGGAATGCAGTTAAGGTTAAAATTATCTTTTATGCGATTAAATGGGATATAGAGACTACCCATGTTCTTTTTTATTTTTCCTTTTCATTTCATTGTAGCGTGACTTGAATCTGAAAATTTGTGACCTTTACTATTAATTGAGGTTTACATGAATTAAGAGTGTGAAAAGGGAATGGTTTTACTGTTCATGGGAAGTCCTCTGTCACCTGAGCTATCTCTCAGTTGTTATGCAAAACTTACCAGTTCACTTAAAGCTGTAAACCAGTCCTCAATAAGACAAATGTGAATTATGTGTTGAATATTTTATAACCAATCCCTTGCACTATAACACCAGCTTTTGTTGAGACTTTCTCCAACTGCTAAAGAAATTTGACAATTTCATCCCTAAAAAAATATATAAATAAATAAAATCAATGTAAAACGTTTTTTCCTAACAGAAAACTGGACATATTTTCGCTAAAAGATCACATGATATAGTCAATTTTGATTTCTTTTTTTTAAAAAACATGATGTAGTCATTATTATTACTCCTTGAAACTCTTAATTATATGATTTTTTTTCTGTTATATTTTGTGAAAAATTCATATTCATGTTTGCATATATATTGTACAAATGACATTGTCAACTTTGTTATATTTGGTGATAAATCCATGTTTCTATGTAGGAAATACATTGTCTGACTTGGTGATAAATCCATGTCTCCATGTAGGGAACAAAAGACGAGATTGTGGAATTATCTCACGGCAAGCGACTTTGGGAGCTGGCAAAGGAGAAATATGAGCTATTGTGGGTTCAAGGTGGGGGCCACTGTAATCTCGAGACATTCCCCGAGTACATTAAGCACTTGAAGAAATTCGTAATTGCAATGGAAAAGCTTTCATTCTCCAAAAGACCCAAGGCTCGACCCTCTCATGCGTCCAGCATTACCGAATTCAAACACAACAAATGTTTAAGATTTGGACAAAGATAACCTCCAAAAGACCCAAGGCTCGACCCTCTCCTGCCTCCAGCATTACCGAATTCAAACACAACAAATGTTTAAGATTTGGACAAAGATAACTCTTTTTTTTTGTTCCTTTTTTTTTTTATTCAATATCAATTTAGGGACGTTCAGCAAACTACTGCTGTTTTGCATCTAAACTAAACATTAGAAATGTGGATTGCAACCTGACTTCCAAATTTAGCATCATTGTAATGGAAGATTTAATGCATCTTTTATACCATCCATTGAATAGTTTTCGGAGAATGAAGAAGAATGGAAGTTCCACCTGAATGAAGAAGGGGTTTTCCTCCATTTGTCTTCATTTAAAGTTTGTATTGTGATGTCAAAGTAAGCTGTAAATTTACTGTCATATTGTAAATAAGACTCTGGATTTGTTCACTTTTAAATTTTTGTTCCCCTGTTATTTAATGGCCAGTTATTTTTTTTCTGGAGTATGTACAGCCACTTTATTAGTTCTGTCTGCATCTTAACCAGTGATCTGCGTTGACACTTATCTTATTTTGAGTTTCTGCATCTGATTAATATTATTCGGTGCCAAGAGACTCTTTTTCTTGCTTTCTTTCACCTGTGTCAGATATATATATATATATATATATATATATATATTTCTTGAATAGAGATGGGGAAATATTGGATAAGTTTACCCAAAAATATCAATGATTTGTTATTTTAAATCAAATCAAATAAATTTGTATCCAAGTAATGCTCTCGCATTTGGAAAGAATGAAAAGAATTAGTTAATGTCTTGGATGGGTGATAAAATATAATATACCATTTTGAATTTAAAGAGATTTATTATGCATCTATATATATTGAAAAATGGTGGTCAATAAATCATTTGTGGAAAGTTGATAAAAAGCTTGGGTAAAACCCTTTGACTTACCACTTATAGAAAATCAATTCAAAATTAAAACTTTGCATTTGGTGTACAGTTAACGCATGTAAATAAATCTGTTTTGGAAATAAATCGAGATTTCCCTATTTTATTGGCATGCCCTTTGGAAGTAAATCTGCTTTGGATATTTAAATATATTTGTAGCTGATATTTTTATTTTGAAATGAATTCTGACATATTATATTGTTTAGAGATTTAATTTTATGTTTATCGGCAGTTCACAATTGTCTTTCTTAATGTTTTTTTAAATCAATATTCATTATCGATTAAGAGAAATATATATAATTTTTTTAAATCTCACTTTTTATGAAGAAATTATTTGAAACTCTGATTTTAACATAAATATTATTTATTTAATATCTATATACGATTTTATTATGTTCGATTTTGCTAATCAAAAATTGAATTGAAATACTCTTTACAAAAATTTCATGATTAATAATTGCTCTCAATTATGTAATTAATATGAAATCGGACTTTCTGGTTCAGTTAAATAATTTTGAATTTTTTGAAATATGATTTTAAATATGTAAAGTCCTAAATATGATATGTATAATCTATATCTACATATATTGAAAGAGAGAGGTAAATAATCTTTGGGATGTCCTTTGGTAACAAATTTTACAATTTTTTCGGATTGTTTGGAGTTAAATATTACATAAGAAATCTCGAGATTTGATAAATGATACATATCGAAATAAAAATATTATTTTTCAATTAATCCAAAAGGCTTATCATATTAAATCGTAACAAACTCCATTAATTTTGTTAAACATTATGTCACTTTGATATGACACATAATCTTCAAAATAAAAAAATTAATTGTTGACTTACTAATATAGGCAATATCAATGGGCCCCACATATCAACCAATTTAATGGAATTTTGGTAACAAATTTGATCGAATTTTGATAATAAATCTCAGATTTTTGTAACAAATTTGATCTTATTTTGATAACAAATCTCGGATTTTGTTAACAAATTTGATCTGATTGTGATAACAAATCTCGGTAAATCTTTTAAAATATCGGTTTTTTTGGTAACACACTTCATAGTTATTTACCCACAATATATTGCTAATAATCTTTGAGATTTTTTTAGGTAACAAATTTTATGATTTTTTGGATTGTTTGGAGTTAAATATTGCAGAAAAAATCTCAAGATTTGATAAATGATACATATCAAAATAAAAATATTATTTTTCAATCAATCCAAAAAGCCTTACCAAATTAAATTGTAACAAACTCCATTAATTTTGATAAACATTATGTCACATTGTTATAGCACATAATCTTCAATAATCGACAAAATCCAAGATTAATAGGAGAATTTATTAATATTATCCTCAACACTTCTTCCAGCCCTATTCCTACAACAAACTTAACCCACCTCGGTACAAGTAAAGAAGTAAACCGACTTCACACATAAAAATGAACCGACTTCACTTACGTCAATGGACCGACCTCACACTAAAGACAAAAACCGACTTCTCGAATATTCTTTCCTGAACATTATCCACACAAACCGAGTTCCGAGGTAGTTGGATCCCAAAGCAGGTGACAAGGCACGTGTCTGATTGGGCCACATATTACTCCTGCAATGACGATGACTTGCCACCAAATCAGACCCAAAACGTTGTGTACAAAGAAGTGTTTACTAGTTTACGAAGTTTTAAATTTGTTTTTTCCACTTTACATTTGTTACATATCTACAAAGTGCATTAAATTTAATATTAATATTAAAAAAAATTCAGAAATGTATACGTCCCGTGCATCACACGAGTCAGTACTAGTACTATTATAAATAAATAGTTGTTGTAAAAAATTAATTATAACCGACGGATTAATAACGAGTTTCAATACATATACATATTAAGAATTTGTAAATAGAAACAACAAACATCAACCACAGGAACGTGAGATGAAACCAGATTTCTATTATTAAATAAATAAGTTTATTATAAAAAATAATTACTTAACTTACAATTTTATATTGTCATAGAACACGAATAGCCGAATCACAGAAAATTTGTTTGCCTTGAAGAAACAGACGCCCCGATACTGTGCAACGTGTACTACGCCTTTTCTCCCAGGATAAGACGGCTCAAAGTGTGAAGAATGCACTATCTAACACACTCACCTCGATCAAAATCTCAGTTGCCAAGAACCTTTAATTTTTCTAAGTCTTTGGAGGATAAAAGAGAATATATGTATATGTTTCTTTTATTTCCCTTCACTTGGTGTATTCTCCCGTAGGCTTGCATGCACACTATTTATATTGTTTCTAAGACATGCTTGCATTCAATGAAGGTGGGTTCCATTAATGCCTTCGTTAAGGCAAAAGTAATGAAACTAGTAATGGAACTTTGAGTTTCATTCTCACATCTCAAAATCGAACACGGTTAAGTTTTCCTCACATTGAATTTGGACATTTCCACATGCAACATTAAACACACCATCTAAGGATTCTCATACAATTTCTCTTTTCACATGTAATGTTTATTACAACAATAGCAACTTAAAAATGCAATGAAAATTAAATTATAGTATCATTCGTAACATGTCACCAATATGGTAAAAAGAAAGGTAAAAAGTAATTATCTGTTTGACGAAGAAATTTCAAGAGATATGAGCTTTATGTAATTTTTTGTTGTGAAATTGCAAGCTTATGTCTTTTCCTTTTTTTCCCCTTATGTTATTGATCCACTTTTCCCATTATTTCCATTACTAATAGCCATTTAATTTATTGTGCACACACAATCGGACCTAGTTCTATCTATAATAATGCGTAAATTTTGAGTATTTAGTAATTGCATCACACATCAAGATGTTCTCAAATACTTATTGCTCTGTTTGTGGCTGTAATTCTTTTGAACGGCCTAAAATACAATGGCAGTTTTGTAGCTAATATTGCATCACAGGCAAGTGTTTAGTAATAGTACCTTTTGATCAGATGCAACATAATACCAGGTAGAAATCGACATCTATTCCTCAATGCCCTTTCCACTATTCCAAATACAAAGCGACCTTCGATTTGAATATGCAATTTGTGATGCAAACATATCATCGTTAATTATACGACGTCATAGGTTTGGATATGCGAGTCATAAACTATCGCATAATCGACGTTCAATTTGGATATGCGATATCTATATCTACAATTTTTTCATGCATATGTTAAACTACGCGGTGAATTTTAGATATGCGATTTTAAAATATGCGAAAATATTTCATATAATTATTAATTATACTTCTAACTTATATATGCGTTAGTATATATGCGACAAAATCTTAATCATTATGTGATTATTTGAATAAACGATTTTTACATCGCATAGCATGAGTTTATGGGTGAAAAGTATTTTTTAATGAAATATTATCACACTAAATTAAATACGTAATGGGAGTGACATGTCCAACTTAGGGCTGCAAACGAACTGAGCAGCTCGTGAGCGCTCGAGTCAAAGCTCGACTCGAGCTCGAGTTTGACCGAACTCAACTCGAGCTCAGCCAATGTTTTCCATTGTCGAGTAGCTTGAGATATATTTTGAATTACTAAATTACCCCTTATATATATTACAATAGTAGAACATAGGTGCTTATCAATTAAGAATTTTTTAGCCGAGCTCGAGCATATTGATTTCGAGTCGAGCTTGCGTGATTGTCTTTGTTTACCGAGTCGAGCTTGACGAGCACGAACAGTTAAAAGAAAAAACTATTGGTGTTTGATAAGGTCAAAATTCAACTCAGCTCGATTCGTTTGCAGCAAGTCATACGCACAAGTGACGTGACAGCCTCATTCTCGTTCATTGTTGACACAAGAAAATAACAACAATTATAATGGCGCCCACAGTACCCAAACCGAGGTGCCCCAAAACCAGGTACCCGCCGCCTGTTTCTCCAAAAAACCGGGAGCATGTGGGTGTAGGCCCCGTTTTTGCTGGACTCGGCTCCCAAGATACGTGGCGATTCGGACACTTTTTTGGTTCACTTCCCACGCGCCTTTCATAAGAGCGGTGCCGTGCGGTGTAGTAATCATCAACAATGTTAATTGAATCACTGAAGTTAGGCGTTTGCTCCCACTCGCTGGCGATGAAAGTGAAGAAATTGATTGAAGGGCGTGGATACAATTTCAGCCATAATATATTTTAATGGTATGGACTATGGAGCAGAGGGAGATGCATCCCCCTATTCCAATTTCCGCACAACCACCGTCTTTCCTATAAAACTTGAAACATCACTTTCTTCCTTTTCCTTAACTACTATTCTATTATATATATACACACATACAAACATATTAATTATCATCCATAAAAATCATTCAGAATGCGTATGAGCTGTAATGGGTGTAGAGTCCTACGAAAGGGTTGCAGTGACGACTGCACCATAAGGCACTGTTTGGAATGGATCCAAACTCCCGAGTCACAGGCCTACGCCACCGTCTTCCTCGCCAAGTTCTACGGCCGCACCGGACTCATCAACCTCATCAACGCCGGTCCACACAATCTCCGCCCTGGTCAGTTCACTTCTATTCGTTTTCTCCCTTTTTCTTCTAATTCCGTAAACCAAACGCCGGCCTACTTTTTGCAGATATCTTTAAATCTCTTCTGCACGAGGCCTGTGGGCGGATCGTGAATCCTATATTCGGGTCGGTCGGGTTGGTTTGGTCCGGGAACTGGAAGCTATGCCAGGACGCTGTCGAGGCGGTTCTGAGAGGTGAGCCGATAACCCGAATGGGCAAAAACGGGCCGGCCGGCGATATAAGGCACGTAAGCAAGGAGGGCGATGTATCCCTGCGTCGGGTCAGGACCCGCTGCAGGTTCAAGCGCTCTGCTTCCAAGTCGAATCGCTGGAATCGTGTGTGGGTTAACGACGGTGAATTCAACCGGTCTCCGAGTCACGAGTCGTCTTTGAGCCAGCAATCTGAACCGGCGGCATGCGAGTCTCTTGGTTCCCCTGAGCAGGAATGTGTCGCGGCTGATCAGGAAAGTGAGGTTGAGCTGGATCTGACGCTGGGTTTAGAGCCGCCCAAATTCGGGTGGATTTTGGAAAATGGAGTTAGGGCTGGACTGTTTTCGGTTTCATGATCAATCCGACGGCTCTCATCAATCGTTTGTTCATTCTTTTACCTTTTATTTCCATTTGTTTTTTCTTATTGATTTTATGCCCTTCCATTAGATGGGGAGATGTAAAAAATTGCGATGCTCAAAGATTGTCAGATGAGAACGAGACAATATGGAGTTGATTGGATACAAGTTTTGTTCGGAAAATTTTGGATTTCAATGTAGAAATTATACTTGGATATAAATTCCTTTTAACTTAGTGGGTCCCACCTGAAGGTTGCATTTAGTTTTGTCGGTCAACCCATTTCTACAGCTGTAAAAGCTATATTTACTCCAAATTAAAAATCAACTGCAATGTCTTATCAACAATTTTCTCGATTCAACGCAAACATCTCCTCCTTCATTTTAAAACCCACACAGAACATGGCGAATCTCTCAGAAACTCCTCCTTCTTCACCAACAAATAATGGATTTCAAGCTTTGATGTCCGAGGAAGAACCTCTTCGCAACCCGACCTCGTTCTTTGATTCTCCGATTTACGGCGGCAGTGTTGGACCGAGGGCCGGCGACCAGAGGCAAGCACCACAGCAACGACCAATACACCTTTGCATCGATCGGCCGAAGTTGGTGAAGCAGCTATTTGGAAGAATACGGAAAGCACGGGGAGCGTTTCTGTGAATTCGCCGGAGAAAAAAAAGAAGAGAAAGGTAAAGTTAATTTTAGGAATTTTCGACATGAAGAATAGGTTTTGTAATTAGGTATTTCGCCCACACTATTTTCGGTTCTACTATATTCGAGCGTTCACAGGGTTTATGAACGGTTTTTGTGCAACTTCAATTTGTCATTGGTGAAGAAATCTGTGTCCCCGCAGACGAACATGGTTATTTTCACATTCATTTTTCAACTTCCTTTATTATTGTCCACTTATTGCTATGTTGTTAATATTGGTGAATAATTACTGAAGCTTTTCTCTTTTTTCTCTGTATTGTTCTTATATTGGGTTCACCGGTTTATATCTGCAACCTTGTGACACAACAATAATTTGAAAAATAAAATTCATTGGAACACATATGTGAGTTGTATGAAATTGTAGATGTCCATGAGTTATGAACAAGACTATGGAAACTGCTCCCAAGGTGAAGCCAAATGGCCCCCAGAGAATGAAAAATGCTTCGTCGACATCATGTTAGATGAGGTTCTTGAAGGAAATTGCGTCGGCGGCAAATTCACTCCACAACAATGGGTGTAAATGACGGAGAAACTCAATGCCAATTGCCCGATGAAATATAAGTACAACACAAGGCAAGTTGAAAGTAAGTACAGACGGCTAAAAAATACGTGGGCGAGGTTTTACAACTTGCGTAATAATGCAACGGGTTTCGGTTGGGATGAAGCGCGCGGTGCCATCACGGGCAATGAGAAAGCTTGGGAAAAGTGGTGCGCTGTAAGTTCCATTTCAACTTACAAGTTCATTTTTTTAATTTGATCCCTGACTGTTGTTGAAAGTGTATGCTAGTACTTGTGTTTCAACTTAACTCCACCGCTAATTGATTATTTCTTAACTTAATGCGCACCCGTACTCTCTGTTGCTTACGATTAAATTGGTATATTATGCTGCTGCTAGAAAAATCACATAAATTATGATGCTACTTCCGATATTAATAATTATATAAGATGCTACGTTATATAGATTAATGTCCTTTGTTTGGGTATATTTCCTTTTTTTTATGTCCCAGAACGGTTGGTTGTGTATGAACTTGATGTGCTGAGAAGAATGAAGTTGCTGTTTCTAGTGTATGAGTAGGCATGCTACTATTTTTGGTTTGGTACATATTCACAACAGGTTTTTTCTTTTTATCTTTTTTATTCTTCACAGGCTGAGTTACATGAGGTTGGGCATTTGTTGGTTTCTTTTTAAAAAAAAAAAATATTTTTTTTATTCTTCACAGGCTGAGTTACATGAGGTTGGGCATTTGTTGGTTTCTTTTTTTTTTAAAAAAAAATAAAATTATCTTTTTTATTCTTCACAGGCTGAATTACATGAGGTTGGGCATTTGTTGGTTTTTTTTTTTAAAAAAAAAATTAAGGCTGAGGTCATTTCTTTGAATGGGTTTTGGTGGACATGCTTTTGTTGTTTGTTTTGGTTGATTATATATGTTGTTCCTCTTCATGAACTGTGTGTTTTCTCTTTCTCATTCCGTGACGCAGAGAAATCATGATCATGATCTGAAGAAGAAGACGTGCGCACACTACGAAGAATTAACTACCATCTTCAGCATGGGTGGGCCATTGCATTCCGTTGGAGAGGACGAGGATATGTTGTCACCGCAGTCCTACGGAACAAGTGGAAGGAACAAACGGAAGCAAAGAATGAGCGAATCGACATCTGTACTCCACTCTATGAAGGAGTCCGTGAGAGACATGAGTTACACGCTAGCACGTCTGAAGGAGGAGCAATCGGATCAAAATGAGCAGAAGGAGGCGCTGCTTCTACTTGATGCTATGAAGCTTCCCGAGTCTACCTACAAGGTTGCTTTGAAGAAGATACCAAATGCGATGGCCCGTCATATGTTTCTGAACATGGCGAATGATCGGAAACGACGTCTACTTGTGGAGGTTTGGGTTGAGGAGGGTGCTAGAAGTGGGTGACGACGAGACGACGAATCTTTGTTTGCGATATGATTATCTGAGAACTTATCTGGTTGCTTTTTATTTGCTTAGACTACTTTTTCACTCGTTAACTAAACTTGCTGTTGTAGGGTTGTGTATTGAACATTTTTGTGTGCTTGCTTTTTTTAGGAGTTGTTTGGACTGCTTCTTTCCATCATTATTTTCTTTTTATATTTTATTTGCCTTGTATCATTACATATATTTCTATTCTCAATTGAAATGATTTGTAGGATGTCTTACGTAAACGACACTAATGAGGGAAAGAAACTTCTGTACATTGACGACCATTACCCAAAACGACGTCGCCATGTGGAAAGAAAAAGGGTTTCGTTTCCATTTGGGCAATCAAACACCAAACAACAAAATGGGAAGGAGCGACCTTATATACTTGATTTGATTTGATGGCCGTAAGGCCTCTTCAGTTCATCTCGTCTCTCCACCACCACCGTCGCCTCTGCTCCCAATCCTCTCTCCTACGCCACATCTCAGCCCGAGCTCACACTCCGCCGCCACTTTCCCCCCTAATTCAGCAGTTAAAATTACTCCATTACCAGTCAAAAGAAAAGCCGCAGTTGACCACCGCTAGGCGCAACCCCGTCGTACCAGTTCCGGATAATATGGCGCAGAAGATCGGGAAAGCGATTAGGCGGCCTGGAGCCCCGTCCAAAGCGCGGGTCTACGCTGATGTCAATGTCATCCGCCCTAGGGAGTATTGGGACTACGAGTCTCTCACTGTGCAGTGGGGGTAGTTCTTCATTAGGATTTCTCTTTTCTGACAAATATTCTGTTTGTAGCTCGTTGGTTCTATCTAATTATGTTGGGATTTGATTCGTTGATTGCAACAGTGAACAGGATGATTATGAAGTGGTCAGGAAGGTGGGAAGGGGAAAATACAGCGAGGTCTTTGAAGGTGTTCACACCACCAACAACGAGAAATGCGTAATTAAAATTCTTAAACCAGTCAAGAAGAAAAAGGTAAGTTGTCCTTTGTTCCCTTTCTCGTTTTATTTTCCCCAATTTTGTAAATTTCTCTGTTCTTTTTCTTTTCGGTTTACTTATAAATTCCATTTCTTGAGGTCTATGAAATGCTTGTGATAACCGAGACATGGATGAACATTTCTGGTTGGGAACTTGTACTTTTTGCTGTTTATGAATTAGCCAAGCAATCGTATTACATCTTCTCCTTTCTCTGGTACTTTCAAAACGCGATTATAGGTGGGGCAAATATTTCTTTTGAGGGCAAAGAAGGGAAGAATAAGCGAAAGCAGAAGTGGTGATATTTGAAATATAAACTAAAATTGTAGGACATAGGCCACGAAAAAGGTAGTAGTGGTGATAAAGAACAAGAAAAACAGAAGAACAGAAGAAATAATCAGGAGTAAGAGTAACAAGTCGGACATAGGTAACAGAGAGAGAGAGGGAGGGAGAGGGAGAGTAGAATGACTTTTCATGTGATGTTTAACATAAGCTATGTTTGATAACCAAATAAGCTAGCTTATAAGCTTCCTGTATTTAAATAAGCTTCGTTTTGTCGGACGAGCTTTTTTAAAAAGCTCGAGCTTATCTCATAGTTTCTTTCGGTAGCTTTTCAAATAAGCTCGTAAAAAATTTTATTTCAGCTAGCATATCAGCTAATTTTACCAAACACTTTTAATCTTATAGCTAGCTTTTCAGCTATAAGTCATAAGCTATAAGCTATAAGCTCGAAAATCAGTTATAAGCTATAAGGTCAAAAATCAGTTATAAGCTATAAGCTCGAAAATCAGTTATAAGCTATAAGATAAAAAATCAGTTATAAGCAATAAGCTAACTTATCATCAGCTAGTTTTACCAAACATAGCCTTAATTGTGTCAAGTTGATTGTGTCCTGAAAGTTGCTGCGGTCATAATCTTTTGCTTGATGTGCATTCATATGGTTTTTAGTCATGCTGGTGGCATCATTTAGTATCTCTTTATGTACTAAAGAATTTTTATGGCCTTGACAATCAGATTTCCCTGAACATATCCAAAACAATATTATGATTAATTTTGTCATCTCTATGCAGATCAAAAGGGAGATTAAAATTTTACAGAATCTCTGTGGTGGGCCAAATATAGTGAAGTTGCTTGATATTGTGAGAGATCAGCAATCAAAGACCCCAAGTCTTATATTTGAACATGTGAACAATACCGACTTCAAAGTGTTGTACCCCACACTTTCTGACTTTGATATTAGATATTACATCTACGAACTTTTGAAGGCAAGTCTCTTCTTTTATTTTGGATTTAAAGATTCTGTATGCTCCTCCATAGTGGAATAATTTTTTTTCCTGTATTCATATTTAAGTTCCATTTTAAATTGTAACCTGACGTTTCTTTTCAACTTGAGGTAGTCAGGTGAATGTTTTGTTATACCCCTTTCCTTCACCTATTTTCCTTAAAGGTACCTCTGCTTGGTGATGAGCTCTGTTATAAAATTAATTAAGCAATGTTAGTCGGTTATTTGCCTAAATTTCTTATAGGAATCTGCTTAATAGTTAATATAGCTGTTATTCTGCTAACCTTGATGGATGTATTCTGAAATTGATTTGAAATTAAAGCTGCTTTACTTGATGGATCTATGCCATGTTTCCACTAATAATGGGGAAAGTGAATCTTCAAGATCCTGTTGACTATTAGCTAACATTCTGCTAGTTTGGCTCTACGGATTGGATTGATTATCATTATGTATCGAGTACTGATGAATCTCATGGGCATTTGCTTGTTTGTATATTAGCTCCTCTTTCCACCACATGAACCCGAAGTTCATGCTGGTCTTTAGCTCTTTCTGCTCTGATTTCAAGTTTTGAGTTAATCTTATCGAAAAATATTAAGATTTATCCTGCACTTTGTCGTGCAGGCTTTAGATTATTGCCATTCTCAAGGGATCATGCATCGGGATGTGAAACCCCACAATGTGATGATAGATCACGAGCAACGAAAACTTCGGCTTATTGATTGGGGACTCGCTGAGTTCTATCATCCTGGGAAAGAGTATAATGTCCGTGTTGCTTCTAGGTTTGTCATCTTTTGTGTATCTTAACAAATGCCAACAGGTTTAGCATATTGTACTAACTATATTTGATATATTTTATGTCTGACATATTGTGCTTTTATTGCCTGGAGATTTTGAATTAATCTAATTGTATCTTGTAAAGAGTTTTTAGAAAGTGGACACATTAAATTTCTGTGCCCATATTGGAGTAAAATAATTCATCAGAATGAAGCACAGTATTTTTATTGTGGCTGACTCCTTTCTGTTTTAGCTATGGTTTAAGAGCTGCTTAAGTGGTTCTCCAATTGTATATTGTTTATTGTTCCGAGCGTCATAAGTTGCGATTCAAATTCCTTTTGATTTTATTTTATTTTTGTTCTTTTTGACATCATTCTGGGAGTTCTAATTCTTTCCCATGTTCAAAATGATATTTTCCAAAATGCTTTTACCAAATTTAGTATATTTTGTATTTAGTTGGTCAAGAGAATGATTGGATTTAGTTAACTAGGATCTCAAATATAAGTGAAGGGAATCAGAGAATGAAATTGGTGCCTCTTTTTGCGTTTGTGGTTGATGTATTAGCAAATTGTTTAATTGAGTTTAGAGTTGCCTCATTGCGATGAATTGGATCCACCTGCATGCATGGATATCTATTGTTTAGTTACAAAACAATAAATCAATACACCTGAACAAGGGGTGATAATATTGTGAGAAACATTGGAAGTAAAATTTCAAATTCAATTTCATGAAGTTTGAATCTAAAGCAGTAAAGCTGGGCTAGTGAAATGATTGTTAAGAATATAGATGGATGATGGAATATCACTTGTCACAGTGTTGAAAGTATCTTTTTCTCTGTGAACACTTTCCATTTTTGTGTTTTATTGTTCGTGATATTTTATTCACCATATGAAATCCTAGCCATAGATAATGTAACTGTACAATTGTGTCTTATTATTTCGTCATAGTCTTATTATATACTAATATCTGGGTAGTTGAACTGCTAAAGGATCTGAGTATTCCTTAATGGGGAGACAGAATTTGACTTTAAATGAAAGTTAACTTGGTTTCTAGATAGTGATACTTATGGACTAGAGGAGAGAGATATTTTATTTTGTTTCATTGTTTTACTTAGTTCATTGAGTTAGGTTTAATCCAATTCCTGCTATGCTCAGTGATCTAGAACTTCTATATGAGTAATGATTATCAATTAGTTAACACAGATGGTTGTGCATCGATTTCATTCACTTTTACTGAGGTTCTTAATGACTGATGCAAAGCGTGAACTTTGGTATGATGACGGTATATTAGGGTTTGTTCTATTGCTTTTAGCTCTGTGCTAATTTTTCACACCTGTGATTTTCTGGCCACTCCAAGTGCAGATACTTTAAGGGCCCTGAACTTCTTGTTGATTTGCAAGACTATGATTACTCGTTGGACTTGTGGAGCCTGGGCTGTATGTTTGCTGGAATGGTACGATTTTCCCTCTATTCTCGATCGTATATACCAATTCCTATTCCATTGCACATACGCCCTACAAGACTACTTAAGCATGTCTTGGGAACAGACTCATATCATTAGGTGGACCTCCTCCGTGAAAAAACTTGATCATCAATTGTTAAGCTCTTGCTATGTCTTTTAGATCCTATCAGCAGATTATTATTTTATTTTATTATTCTGTATTAATATTTCTCATATCTATGTTTTTCCACACAGATATTTCGCAAAGAACCTTTCTTTTATGGGCATGATAATTATGATCAACTAGTCAAAATTGCAAAGGTATGCTAAACCCTGTAAAGATTCTAATTGCACGGCTGTGACCTTTTCTCTATTGTTATTATTCATGCTGCACACGGATGCACATGCTATCGATGCTTCAAGAATTTGCATTTTTTATTTTGCGATTTGAACTGATGTTCTTGAATTCATGCTAAGAGTTCTGTTGCATTTGTTATTTGCCCTTTTTTTTCGGCGTTCGCTTTGATAAATGAAGTCATATGATGACTGGCAGGTGTTGGGCACCGATGAGTTGAATGCTTATTTGAACAAATACAGATTGGAATTAGACCAAAACCTTGCTGCCCTTGTTGGAAGGTCAACTTTGTATGGCTTGAGTTTCCCTTTTGTCAAGTTTTTATTTTATTACAAGATTATTATCTTCTGGTTTGTCTATCCAGGCATAGCAGAAAACCATGGACAAAGTTTATTAACTCGGATAACCAGCACGTGGCTGTTCCTGAGGTAAGCCATAAGCTAAATGGCTACTGAGTACATCAGAAGTATATAATGAAGTTGCCACGGAATATTTTAGACTGATTTCTTTNGTGTTTTTCCTTCAAATAATCTAAAGGCGATCGACTTTGTTGACAAATTGTTGCGATATGATCATCAGGAAAGGCCAACTGCAAAGGAAGCAATGGTAAAGTCTTTGCCTTAAGCTGGCCCCCTCAATCTTAGTTACTGTAGTTTTTTTTTAGTTTACTTCTCTCTATCTTTAGGCACACACTTGTAAGTAATTCCTTATCATGACAATATAATTCATATAATTCTTAGTCGTGTTTGTTCCCCTAATTCCCCAATTTTATCATATGAAATGTAACTGCTGGATGATTGTTGCAAATTTTTCAGGCCCATCCTTATTTCAACCCGGTAAGGAATGCAGAAGGCCGCAGAAACCGTGGCCAATAGGATTTGAGCATTGTGCCTTTGAGTTATCGATGCTTACGTCTTCTTTCTCAAGTAAAACTAGTCATAATCATTTATACTTTTGATTTAGTTGTCTTGCCCTCTGTCTTGTGCTTAATGACCCATTTCATCGGTTCATGTTTTTTCAGATTTCACTCTGAATCTCATATTGCTTTTCCAGTGCTATATGCTGGTGTAGTTGTAGAGATTGATGGTTTGTTGTAACGATTTTTGTTTCTGAAGTTAAAGATCCGCTTGAGGAAAGTGCAGATATTGGAGATTTATAAGATAAGTGTGAAGTTTAATCTCTTTGATAACCTTTGTGAGTCATCCTTATGTCGTTATATGGAGAACAAATACTCAGAAAAAATTAATGATGTTTTTAGCATTACTACATTTTAATATTGTGTATTGGGCTGAGCTATATTAGAAGTAAACAGCTAAAAAGAAAAGAAAATGGGGGGAGAGATAAGTTGCCTATTTTGGGAAATGATGATGTTACCCGTTGTGTTACTTTCTTCGGGTCTATGACTGCAATATAAAATAAGAAAACTGGAAATTGAGATGGTCCGGTTGTCGAGTTGAGACCCTAGGTGAGGTTAGGGGCGGATTTGTTGATGGAACTGAATCAGAGTGAGGTGCTAGAGCTTCATGGATATTGACTGGTGTTTTTCGTGGTTTGGAGGAGATGAATGGTGAAGATTGATAAAAACAGATGGGTTCAAATTTTATTGTTATTCATGGAGCTCCGACAGGTGAAAAAATACGCACAGGTTAGTATAGTTAGGTAAACTGAAAATATGATTCCTGTTGGCTAGTGATTGTGAGGCCCCCCAATTCTTGACTGGAAGGGACACCAAAGGCCTCTGCCCTTCCATCCCTTGGATAGATTGAGGGTAATTTTTTTAATAGGTATAAAATGGACAACAGTTGTATAGTTATTATGTAATAAAATAGTAATACAAACACTTGTGTTTGAGACAAACTCATAACTATTTATGTCTTTATGTCTGCATATGCTTTCCATTCATGAAACAATTAGTTCTTTTTCTTTTTCTCGATCTATTTGAAATTGGATCATTGCTGAGTTAATTAAAAAGACTTATTTCTCTATGACTATGAAGGTCAAATAGGTGTTTATTGGTCATTTTTCTTCAAATTAAAATGGCTTGGTCTAAGGATAGTGATATTTTCTTTCATCAAATAATGATAATTTATTTTTCTAGTAGAAAAGATGTCATTTCCTTCTCGTTTGCCACGTCCCTTAGCCCACTTTAAAGGGAGGAAAACTTGCCAACATGATCCACTGAAGAATCTTCACGTATTTTTCCATACATTTTAATTTTCTTTTTTTCAACAATCGTGAGTTCGTGACGGAAAAACAAAAGACAACGTTGTTCAACTCAACATGGTTTTCTTGATTATATTCTACTGAGATATATCACACGTGAAAATGGTCATGAAAAGAAGATACATGAGGAATTTACACTCCATACTAAACATTATTCTTATAGATCTACATTCAATATATATTTATTTACAAATCTACCACATGTACCATAATTATTTGTACATATACCAGAGTTTAATTAATTATTTGTACAAATTATGGAGTATTATAATTAATGATTTTCTTCTTAATTATTGGAACAAACCTCTCGATATCCAATTTCACGTTTGGCAACAACTCGCTTGTCTCCTTCACCTTCGAGATCCGCCAAACCGCGCGTACCCCTAACAAGAAGATGAGGCTCGCGTCAACTGCGCTAATGCCTCTGCCATGGCCAAGGCGTCGGTTTTCCACGGAAGGAAGGGTTTTTGCCGCCTCTGGAGGTGAGTAAATTGACGGGAAGCGCAGAAGGTGCGTTTGGAGAGGGTATGCCGTTAATTACTTTTTCTATCCACAAATCGATGGCGATGTTGCAATTTGACGATGTTGACGATGTTTGTTCATCTTGTCGGGAACCCATTTGATGAATTGCCTCACAGAGAGATTTGAAGGCTTTTGAGGTAGCGAAAGAACTGTACTTTGTTCCTAAAAATCCAAGATTTATTACACTGGGTTGAAGATTAAAACACGAGATTATTGAAGTGTGTGAAAAATGTTGAAGCCGGATCTCATCTAGTGCTGCTGAAGAATTTAATCCTACAATCACAGTGTTGAATATTCGAACAGTTAGGATATTTGAATATTTTAGGATTTATGAGTTGTTAGAATTGTACAGCTAGAAGAATTAATCGATTGACTTCCCTTTTGGAGTGCAATTTTTAGCATTTGAATTGATACTCAAAACCGCTGGCTGGTTTTCTTCTTAAATTGAAAGATGTCATTTTGGCCTGGCAGGTTTTATATATTTTCTTTCATTGATTTGTTGGTATATGTATGGATTGATTTTGATTTATAGAACTGGTTCCTTGTAGGTATATGTACAGTATATCTACAGTATATGTACAACATATCTACATATATGTATAATATATGTACAGTATATGTTCAATATATTAGAAGATTTTTTTTTGTAAATTGTTCAGTATATGTTGTGTGTATAGGGAATATATGTTCAGTATATTAAAAGATTATTTAGTATAGAGAATATAAGTATAAATTATATATATACTTTTATATATAAAAGTAAAAAAAAAAAAAAAAAAAAAANAACACAACATAGACAGCAGCGTGAATTACAATACATGTTTTTTTATCTCTCTCTATTAAAAACGTACAATGCGCGCAAATTAAGAAATTAAAGAAGTTATTATAAGCATATTTTTATTTCTCTCTCCTAATCAATCCCATAAGAAGAGGGATGGAGGTTGAAAGGATATAGTAAATAATTTAGACATTAATATAAATAAATAAGGTGTTTTAGATAAAGACATAATTATTTATATAGATATGGTAGAGTTGTAAATAAGTTAAAATCACATAGCACACCTGAAAATTTCCCAAGATACATTACATGTTTTACAACACCACTTATTTAAAACTCATGTTTATATTTTAGATGGAGCGATCACATAATGTTGTGTAGTGCGATCATGTGGTGTGACTTAATGTGCTATCATATTTTATGACCATGATTCAATCACACAGTGCAATCATATGGTATGATCATAACACAATCATATGATGCGATCACATAATGCAATCATGTGGTGTGATTCTGTTGTGTGATCAAGATGCAATCACGTAGTGCGATCACGATGCAACCCTATGGTGTGATCATAATGCAACCATTTGTGCGATCCTGTGGTGCAATCAGGGCTGAGCATCAGATTGGGAGAATATCGAACCGTTTTGAAAATCAAATCGAAATTACTCTGATCCAAAAAATTATCATTGACCGTTTGACTTTCTCCTAACTGAACCATGCCAAAAATATAACTGGTACAATTCTGGAGATTTCATAAATATCCATACACAAGAGTAAACCAAACCATTTCATTTCGTATCATACTGAAAACCAAAATTAATAATCGAATTATAATATTATATATATATAGGGATTGGTTCCAATGCATCCCATTATTTAAAGTGAGGACGTGAGACTCATTTTTAGCCACAAGATCTGATACATCATGTGTGGCCAAGATTTACTCTTTTCTTTTTATTATTTTAATTATTTAAATATTATTTTGACCCGTTGACTCCGGCATTGACCGTTGACAACTAACCTTCCAACTAGGTTAGTTCTATGTAGTTGCTAGGATTTTTTTATTTTTTTTTTTTTTTACAAACAACAAACAACGCCCCGGAAAGGCGGGGGATTGGGCTGGATCCCCAACCTGTGCATAGATCAGGACCCCAAAAGCGGGGCCCAAAATATCAACGAACAAGATACAATAGTCTACAGAGTCTCACTAACCAAAATCAAAAACAAAAAACCAAAAAGAAAAAGAAAACCGAAAAACAAAAGAGAACCAGAAACTACAATACAAAGTCAATCATCGGGCTAACAGATGCCCGAAGTAAATGTCTTGACTAATGAAAGCAAAAACCTAATCTACTAAAATTGGAAAGATGGATATCCAAGCTGGTCCATCCGAACAAGCGTGCGAAGGCGGAGTGGAGCAGTGTTAGTCTGGAATGTATGTGTGTCTGGTATGGTGGCGCCAAGGCTGGCAAGATAGTCGGCGGGTCTGTTCCGAATTTCGGTACGTTTTCAGAGGTTTATGAATCTTTGAACTGTACTGACTCAATATGCTTACCTCTAGGGACAGTCAAATAATGCAATTGTGTAGTGAAATAATGTGGTGTGGTTCTGTTGTACGATAATATTGTGCGATCATGATGCAATGGCGTAGTGCGATCATGTTGTGGGATCGTATGGTGCAATCTTGACCATACCATCTGGGTGAAAAATAAGGATTTTAAAAATATGTATAATTTATCTTTAGAGTGAATAATATGTCCCCCCTAAATCACAATCTCACAAAACCCAAAATTTCCCCGTTTACCCAAAAGTCCATTTAGATTTTAGACCTTTCGAAATATAATTAAAGCAAGCATCTAAAAGGCTCCCCATCAAAATGTGGGGCGTGTAGAAGATCTCACTAGTGCATGGATTGTGCAACAAAAAGACAATCCAACAAAAGAAACGACTGCAAAACAAAAGATACATATATCACGAATAAAGAATAAAGTTGTCATAGAGAAGGGTTTATATAATCACTTGGGGCGTTCCTAAAATCAACGACAACCTGGTCTTATCACTAATTTTTAGCTAAAAGTATACCTCAATTTAGCTATTCAGATCATTCATTTCGCTATATTTCTTGATTGATCACTACATTAAGAACTAAGAAACCAGGAAAAAATAAATAAAAAGAATGGAGCCAAATCTAACTCCGAAAGAATCATACTGCACATAAAGTTGGGATATTAACTAAACTCCAACTCGGATATATCAGCATTCCATCTCGATCATGACTCGTCAAACAGAATGCTAGGTACAATATCAACAATTCTTCTTTGTGGGACAATTTTGATCATTATTATTATTATTATCAAAGTTTAGCCTTCTTTTAGAGCCCCCTTTGGATGTGATGGCGGTCGAATCATCAGCTGAAATCCAACTCGGACTTATAGCAGATTTCGGGGTTTTTAGCATCATAATCTCTTGAAGTTTGCAATAACATGAGAATGTAAGGTCCTGTTATAGAATTGATTTATCAATCAATATGATTGCGCAAAATAAAACAGTCATGTCATAATCGCATTACAACGTGCCCAAATTAATTATAAATACGAACTCACTTTTTCAAGGGATCCCCAAGATGGGATTTCATTTATCTTATCCTCCATCATTCTTTTCTCCAATCGATGATCATATGCTGCTAATACTGATGCAGCTGCAACAATCGATGACAGATTTTCAGCCGCATTAATATTTGGCTCTGCATTAAAGAAATATTCATACAAATTTTGTAATTAATAAATAAATAAGTGACATTTCATTTTCAAGTACTCAGCTGATTAATGTTTTTATTTAATCTAAAATACCTTCCATGATTGCCAACACTAAGTCTGCAGCTCGAGTCGCAATCTCTTTTTGCCTACATTTTTCAGCGCACAACTTTGCGGTGAAATAGTGTATATATGTAAATGGAGTCAAAATACCCATTTGCCATCCAAGTTCATGCAAAACGCATAGTTCCATTTTCTGAATTGCGATTCCTTCAAAACCATATCCATCCACACGATATTCGATTAACTTCCGTGCTTTATGTTCCTCCATTTTTGCAGCTAGCGATAAACAAGCTATCGATAATAATCGACTCGTCCATGCTGTATTTCCATCCTATTCCATGTCAATAGCATTTTGAAATTAGATAAAATTTTATTATTAAAAAAAACTATAGATTTAAGCTTCATATATACTTACAGAAAACCAGGTTTTGGCCAAAAACTGATCTAAGTAAATCGATGAGAGATATGCCGTACGGTAGTGATATCCAAACATGGCACTTATCTGCAAATTACGCACGCGCTCACAAATATTAATTAAAACGAAAACAAGGAAAACAATTATTTTTTCAACACTAAAAGACCTTATCAAGTGTTGATAAAAAAATAAAAAACAGACTTTAAGAATAGATTTTACGGCTTCCAAACGGAAGCTTTGGGGCCATCTTTTGACTTCATTTTGGTCTCTGTTTGACCGAAAAATAATAATCTCCTTTCGGAATGAATTTTCAATGTAGTCGCAATCAGGTTCAGAAACAGAAATGAAATCCAAGTCATCGTCTTTTTCGATTAAATTCGAATCGAGAGAGGAAATATCCTCGTTACAGAAAAGATTTAGCAATGGAGCTTCAAATTCCATTTTCGAACTTTTTTTTTTTTTTTNCCGGAAGAAGAGTGTCTGCACATATATAGATAGAGAAGAAAAAAGAAGAACATTTGATGTTAGTAATTATTTGACGAAATTAGAATAGATTCGAGGAAATCTAGAGTCTGGAAATAAACAAAAACGCGCATAATTTTGTTGGCGCCAAATTTCGCGGATGAGATTGAATGCGTGCCATTTTTACGTAAGTTCTCTCTCTCTCCCCCTCTAGTCAAATATTACTATTACAAACTAGTGTGTGGCCCGTGCAATGCACGAAAAAACAATATTACAATTATATTATAAATTAAATATATAAATAACATTAATAATGATATATGTATTGTTTTTACATTAAACCGGGTTGGACACAGTCCGACCGGATGGACGGAGAACCGATTTATAACCAGTCTAGTTCGCTTGAATAAGATATTTGCTTTTGAATCCGTCAACACCAGTCGGTTGGATTTGTAGAATCGACACAATTTTTTAAATAAATTTTATTATATTTAAAATTATTTTAAATAAAATTACATATTTAAATAAAATAGAGATTTATAAATTATTTATCAATTAGTTTAAACATTTGAATTTATAAATTTTTTAAATATCTAAGTAACACATTTTGTTTAAATTTATTACAAAAAATACTATATATATATATATGTATATATTAAAATATTTATAAATTAAAATCTGAACAAACAACAAATGATTTAAAAAAATAACTTGATCGTTTCGATGACGGTCTAGTTCTGAGAACCTTATATTTAGTGTGCATTAATAAATATTATAATAAAACATTTTTTTGTTCACATAAATATTAATAAAATGATATATAAATATTCATAAATCATTAAACATGTTGTCATAAAAGTATTATTAATACGATTATTTGAAATTTGGACTACATCACATTCACATAATAAAATATTTTTAATATAAAATTTATATTTAGGTTCAATAATCATTTGGTGTGATCGATCTGATTCATAACTTAGTCACCTGGGACCAACCAAGTTGTGTCAAGTTTTTTAACTATTTTAAATATCACATAAAAGTAATTCAATCAACCTGGGCAGTACCCTAATTCAATCACCTGATTGATCCGAAGAAATTTTCTTATTTTCTTTAAATATACTTAATTTGTTGAAATAAAAATATTTTATGATTCATATAATAAATGTCTATACCAAATGATAGTATATTAAGATTATAAATTATATATCTTAAGATGAATTAATTATTTTTACTTTATGCATATTAATAAAAAATAAACATAGTAATTTTAAAAAAATTAAGATTAATTGATTGATTATGCAATTTAAAGAATATTTTTAGCATTCAATTTTTTTTAAAGGCACAAATATAAAGACCGAGATTCTAAAACTTTTGTTATATTTTGAATTGAGATTTTATAAATATAGAGACCCGATATTTTAATTTTGTTCGTTGTTTCTAAGAAAAAAATAAAAATAAATACACACTTAATAAATCTTAGCCGGATTTTTTAAATAATAAAATGAACTATAGCCCGAAATTTAAGGTAACATTTAATGTTGTATGAATTTTAAAGAAAAAATAAGAAAAATAATAAAACTTACTATTTATAGACTGCATTAAATTCTTATCTATTTTTTGCTATTATTTTTAGTAAATGTTAATTCTTATTATATATACTAGTGTGTACCCCGTGCGATGCACGGGAACAATATTATAAATAGACCTTGAATTTGAGTCAATGGCGGAAGTGAAAACTACTATTGATCGTATTTAAAAAGAGGAAGAAAAAAAATAATTATAAATAAAAGAGAAGGATAAACAATACTTAATAATTATAAATTAAAGATTCGAGGTCAAACAATGTAAAATGATTTTGTACAAGAGAATATAAAAAAATTTGATTACACACCATTTCAAAATTATTATTATACTTTTTTGTATGGTTAGCTTAGAATATTTGTAAAAATATTAGTAATTAGACCGATGAAAATTAGCTTCTTAAAGTAGATAATGGATTTCTAGTAGTAATTATGAATTAGTTTATATTTTATTTTAATTTTTCTTTTTAAAGATAATGGATTTCTAGTAGTAATTATGAATTAATTTCTATTTTATTTTATTTTCTCAAATCTGTATAGATAAGAGATGAGATTTTTTAAACACCTAAGATCGTATGCAATGAAATTTTGTAACAGAAGAGATAAGCTCGTATAGATTTATACTAAAAATAGGAAAAAAAAAATATTTATTGTTAAAACGATAAACTAAGAAACAGGAAAAAGAGAAACAAATCTTTACACAATTAATGAGCGAATTTTTTTGCCTATTCAGATTTGTCCAACAATTACTATATATAAGATATATTTAATGATTTTGGCGGGAAAAAGTTTCTAAATTTGTAAAAAGGTTATTCTTTTTACATAATGATAGATATAGATATTTCAAACACACTACAGTTTATATTTGTACAGACACAATATATATATATGTATCGAATTTACAAATTTTAGGGTAATGTTTAGAAATATTTCACCTCATAGATCTGAAGTTGGTAAAACTCATGCAATTGTTAAAATTATGAATACATTTTCTTCCAATTATAAATTCCGGGATATGATTTTACCAATTAAAGAGCATACAAATTACATACATTGATCATCAATCGGTATTCGGTCACTGATTATCCATTTTATTTATACCGTGATTGTAATTCATGTAAGTGCATCCGGATTCCATTTCTTTGTAAATAATTTAGTCTCATCAAATATATTCCATTTCTTTGTAAATAATTTAGCCTCATCAAATATAATACTTACGAAGTATTGCATATTTCAAGATTTAATTATCAAAAGCCTTGGTCTTTTCTAAGTTTATGAATTTAGCAAACTTTTTTAAGTTGACTAATGAAGACAACTTTAGGAAATCTAAGGGGCAATTAGAAATAAATTTTATTTGATTTTAACTGATCGGATAAGTTTTTTACACTCTTCTAACTTAAAATCCAACTCAACTTTAATTCAATTTAACTCTCCTATTTTTTATCAAATTAATTAAATAATATCAATAAATAATTCTTTAACTCAATTTAACACTCCAATTTTTTTTTTTATCAAAGTAATTAAATAATATCAATAAATAATTCTCAGATATAACATCAACAAAATTCACTATTCATCTTCCCATATAATTTTAAGAAAAATGCTACAGATACATAATAAATGTACATAGAAGTGTACATAACACTCACATGGAGTGGGACCCACTTAATTTTTTATGAAATGCTACAAGTACATAATAAATGTACATAGAGGTGTACATAACACTCACGTGGAGTGAGGTCCACTTAATTTTTTTATTTTAGGTAGGACCCACTCAATGTGAGTGTTATGTTCACCTCTATGTAAATTATTATGTACTTATAGCATTACTCATTTTTTATTTTTGGTAGGACCCACTTAATATGAGTGGAGAAATGCACACCTCATGTAGACCCCACTCCATGTGAGTGTTATGTACACCTCATGTACGTTTATATTGTACTTGTAGCATTTTCATGTGAATATTATGCACACCTCTATATATGTACAATATTATGTACTTATAGCATTTATCTAATTTTAACTATCCATAATTTCTAATCACTTTTACTTTTACATTAAATCAACTTTAATCATTATATTTTAAATATTATTTAAATACAAATTCAAAATCTCACTCATTTAATTTTTGTCAAAAAATAACTTACTTTATCCAATAAATTCAATAAAAATCATTTTTTTTTATTTTTTTTTTCCGATGGCAATCCCAAATTCCCAATCAGTCGGTTAAAGAGGTTAAAGAGGGCCAAAATCGTTGATGTGTGCTCATTGACAAAGTATTCCTTTTAATTTTAGGAAAAATCATCATCTTTACAAAAAAAGGTTGCAAATCACAATAATTTTTAAGCTGACAAACAAATAAATTGCTATAATTCAAAAAATATGTAAAATATAAGTCAAAATTATCAAGACATATGTTCTTTAATTATCCATTTTGACATATTTGGTTTTTGACCAAGTAAAAACTCTAATGGCAAATATTTATACAAATTGAGAATTTGCATATGTAATGACACCCAACAAATATTATGTTATATAACAACCGTCGTCGAGATGCAGATCCAAATCAAATAAATAAATCCTATAACGGTATCTATAGTTAGGATCAAGACTTATGGTTTAAAACTTATCGACTCTGAGACGACTTACACAACCTACTGAGCTGGACGAACGGTTCTGAGACGCGTCCTTGAACCCATGTTCCTTACTGCTCCTCGTCGAGCATTGGGTTGTGTGCGTTGGGATCGCTAGTTGGGCCTCAGGATCGCCGGGTGCTGCGTTGCGTGCATGTGCCTTGCTCCTACATTGGTTGTGGCGTGCTGTTATCTGCGTGCGGCTGGTGTCTGTGGTCGGGCGATGCGTCTGGCGGGCTTGCGATCGCCAGCATGCGTCTGCAAGCGCTGGTGTGCGTCGCAGATGCGCGCGTGGGTATCGTGTCTATCTATGAACATGAATTTGATTAATTCTTCTTCTTTTTTTTTTTTGTCTTTTTTGCACTCCCTTAGAAAACCCAGCTCAAAAGAATGCATTGGATGGTATAAAGGTCAAACCCATAAATGGTTATCCGATAGTTCGGTATGGCTGGTCTGATCAAAAGCCTATGACTTATGAGTTTTGAGCTACCGCTCCACAGTTACATCGACCCTCTATTCTTTTTCTTTTGGAGTTCACAGATTCACTAAGGTAGGGCTCAATTATATCGACCCTTGGTTTAGAAAGAACTGCCACCTGGTATGATGTGCTTGGGCTTTCCTCCTTAGTCTATTGTTGGTCCTTCTCACCCCTCACTGGTGCGTGCGCGGGGCGCTACGATGCGGCGGTGGCTCCGATGGATTCGGTGATAGTCCTCTCCAGATTTGGTGGCGATCGGACAATCTCCGGGGATAAATATATTCGTCGGGATGCAAAAACGAGATCTCACAATCTTCTGTCGTATGACATACCTTACGATCTTCTGTCGTATGACCTCTACACCTACTCCGAGTAGTCTTGATGGTGTGACTAAACGGAACTCCCAAAACCTCATGATCTAAGACTCACGAACTTTCTCTCTTGTGGGAGACTGAAAACGTGTGGAATTGTGTGGGAGGAGGTTTGGTACTTAGTGTATTTATAAGCTACGACAGGGACTCTAAGGAGGTACTAAATATGAGCTCTCACGAACTTTCTCTCTTGTGGGAGACTGAAAACGTGTGGAATTGTGTGGGAGAAGGCTTGGTACATGGTGTATTTATAAGCTACAACAGGGACCCTAAAGAGGTACTAAATAATGAGCCCTCAAGTGTGAACACTCCTAATCAGCCTGGGCTAATTTTACGTTCACATTGAATAATAGAACATTCCACTAAAGTAATATTATTGCACTCGTTTTTAGCTCTGAATTACAAATAATTTGTTTTCCAATTTAATTTCTCGAATTACATCTCTATCTTTAAGATCTAAAGCCCCCATTTTGCCAGAAATTATGTCTCTCCATATTTAAGATCTAACGTTCCATTTTGCCAGAAATTATGTTTGTTTAGCAATTAGACGGCCTAATAACGACAACCTTTGTAAAAAATATATATTTTTTAACGACGTAATTTTATCATGTACCAATTGTAATCTTAATTATCTCAATTATGTTTGGTGTCGCGCCAAACTAGCCATTTTGTACCATAGACAATGGCCGGGCCTAATAGGCCCAATTATTTTAGGTATTTCTTCTTTAGAGGAAATTGCACCCCTTACCATAAGTTATGATATATAATACACTTTTACACCAAATATTTTTTTTATTTATAAAATTACTAAAACAAGTATAAAATATTGTACTTATACCTAAGAGGTTGAATTCTGCAGATGTAACCGTCATTAAGCAGTTATCGGGCCTAATTATATGCAATTGAGATAATTAATTGAAATCAATTATAATCATACTAAAAAAGCGGAAAATAACATCTCTCTGCAAAACCACCCATTGCCCTCTCTCTGCAAAACCACCCCACCTTCTCTTTACAGAAAAACCGATTGTAGACGGAGGCATGGATTCGGCGTGGCCAGAGTAGACGGAGGCTTCCATCTGGATCGAGTCGTTTTTTGGGTCGACGACGTCGGGAGGGAGGAGGCGGATGTGTGGGAGGGTGCTGACGCCGACGACGGTGAAAGAAGACAGAGATTCCTGGAATTCGAGGTTGAAGAAGAAGATTTTTGGGCTGACAAAATTATAAGATTTGAAATAAATTTCAGGATGAATAACGCGATATACTAGGTAAAGTAAACCATCATTCTGACTTTCCGTACTGCTGGTACTATTCTGCTCATAAAAAATTTTAGAATTAGATAGTTTTTTTTCTCTTTTTCCCCCTTTTTGCTTTCCATTTGTGCACTGGCTTACAATTCCTTCGTTTCTGATTTTCATTGCAGTTCAACTCGTATATGATATCGTATTTGCTGAAGAAATCGCTTGAAGCACTCTGAACGTCCATCAGCCATCGGGGAGGGAGAGCTCGAATTTGGAGTGGAGGTGCTTGGCGTCGAAGAAGATGACACCGTGGAAGGATAGGATGCGGCGGAGGAGGTCTTCGGCGAGGCGGATGAAAAGATTGATTTATATGTATTTTCTTTAATGTCCTATATATACAATAAGTATATCTTCTGTATATGTTCCCGACAAATATACTGTTATTTAGTATATGTTTCGTTTATAATTAGTGAATATATCATATATGTATACGTTGAGTATATAATGAGTATATCTTTTGTATATAAGTATAATCGTGAAACAAAAAAGAATTACGAAAAGACAAAATTACCAGGTTATTTCCTATATTTTTCGGACTTATATGTTTTCTGTATATCTTCTGTATATATTATGTATACAGAATACAATTTGATATATATTATAGTTAGTATAATTTTTAGTGTATATTGGTTTTTTTGAACATAACATGTAATAATTCGGTTTATACTTGGTTTATAATTTGTAACAGTTAATATAACATATAAGTATATATAGAGAGAGTTTTCTGTTTTTTATTTCCTATCGAATATACAACACCAATATAAATAATTTTATTAATTTTTAAGTAGTATTAATAGATAATTTATAATAAAAAATTAAATTATTTTTTATTTTATATATGAAATATAGATGTCAAATCAAACTTTGTCGAAATATAATTAATTTGATATATTATATATGAAAAATTGATAACAAACAAAAAAGTTATTAACTTTTGAAAATTATTGGTTTTTTGTTACAAAGTTTAAAAAATGGATATGAGTGGATATTTCATCCATTTGTTTTGGTCAACTATTTTTTTGCATTCAACTTGGATATGAGTGAATATTGCATCTGTTTTTTTTGGTAAACTATTTTTTTGCATTAAACTAATTAATTCATCTTATTTTGTGTCAATGCTAATCTTTTTTACATGATCGTATATGTGCAATATTTTCACATTCACGCAGCAAGCGTGTAAATTGCTCTTTTCTTTATTAGAATTCAGGAAAGTAGTACGAGTTTTCTGACATATAGTATTCAAAATCTACTTGAATACACACGAGAGAATTCTCATTCAAAACGTGTGAAATTTTTCTCGAGCTCGTGTTTGTTTATTTATTTTTCGATAAAAAAATCGTGTTCGACTTCGTTCGTTTAATTGTTCGTCAAAATTCGAGTTCGTTCATGTTCGAATAATTTAGGAGACTAACTTTTTAAATATGTTTGATTAATTCGAAATATTTCCGTTTTAACTCGAAAATAAAAAATTAAATAAATATAATTTTTAATAGTTTAGATTTTTTATTAAAAATATCTTGCAAATATACAAAAAAATAAAATAAAATTATAATAAATTAATGTTCACAAACATTATCCAACTTGGTATGAATAGTTTATTGGTTTTGGGGGTGGATGTTGTTATTTGGACATCATGTTTTGGATACTAGATTTATGTTTTTAATCTATTGGAGTGGATATTGACAGGAATTGATTGAAACTTTAAAATGGATTCATGCGAACGAGCTCGTGTTCATTCGATTATTAAATGAGCCTAATTTTTTGTTATAAGTCATGTCGATTAACAAACGAACAAGTTCTTATTAAACACGCACAATTTTTTGTTCGCAAACTTTCGATTAGTTAAACACACCAACTAAAAAATCCGACCCCTCAGATTTTGCCCAATAGTTTGAACTAGCAATTATAGCGTAACCTAGACATTATTTAAGGCCTTGAAACCCCATCAAATAAAACAGGTTTTAGTTACGGTAATATAGAAACACTTCTTATACCATATTCGCATCAGAACACAAAAAACCTTCCAAAAATATTGACCAACACAAAATAAGGTCAACTTGTTTGCATTGCAATCATAAAACTTCAAAATGGTGGTTAATTTTTTGTTTTCCCCCACTGTTCACAAAAATGTACAGCAGGTGAAAATCTTGTCAGCTGTTGATAGAAAATAATCAAAATATAGATGATAGCACCCTCTATTCACTAACTAACTTGCCAGAGGGAAAAACTTCTTCAATCCCACAGCAATCGGCATGCCTAAAAACCCGATGAAAGTGCAGATAAACCATTGGATCAAGGTCAAAGGAGTTGTGTTGGCAAATGTCCCAAGGTACTCGACGATTATTATCTGGAAAAGTACAGTCGAGCCAAGAACCGAGACAAACACATAGTTGTCCAGCATGCCGGTGAGCACGTTTACTTTCTCCATTTCCCGCGAGTTCACCTCATTAAAGAGCTGCATGAAAATGGAGAATAAAAAGAGAATTATTTAGATAAAGAAGCAATACAGCCCATGCATTTTTCGTTTCACTGATCCTTTTCAACAATCTTAGCAATTTGTATCAAATCAGGTTGTATCATGTATGGTGCTTATGAGTAGTGTTGTTTATTTGGTTTGCTTTTGGTGTAGATAAGCTAATGGAAAACTTCCACATATGGTGAAATGGAGTCTTGTACACAAACCCATAAGAGTTTATTGTTTAATAGTTTCAAGAAATACATGAAGTTCTGATTGTGCCTTTCAGGACATATATATATATATATATATATATATATATATATAAAAGAACATAGAGATATTGCAGTTACAGCTTGAACTCCAAGACCAAATAAAAAATTTTTAAGGGCCTTTTTTTTTGTTTTTTTATTCTTGTAATTAGCAATAGCCAAAACCTCAAGGGAGACGGTAGTTAAAAAGCTACCCCTAAATGATTGGGTAAATTCCTAATATAACTAACTTTCAGGGCAGTTTCAGTAATTTATACCTTGGAAAAAAATCAAGGCTCTTCTAGAAGTGTACATTGTAAACATTAGTCACATTTTTCCTATTCATAACTCAACATCTGAAAATAGCATCAAATGAGCGACAAGAAAAATTTAACCGATTAGTTAAGAAAAATGTTACCTGGCAAAACACGAACGTATTGAAGATAATGGTGTTTAGGACCAAATCGGAGTCTGAGCTGCCATGTAGCCCAAAAAATGTATTCCCGTATGCTTGAAGAAGCCATATGACGAGAAACTGATACAAGGACTGTCCCAAGATGTTCCTCCACATGACCGCAGTTATAAAGTTTCCCTTTCTCCCCACAGGAGATTTCTTCATTAATTCATCGTTTGGAGGCTCAGTGGCAAGTGCAAGTGCGCCAAGTGTATCCATAATCATGTTCACCCAAAGGAGCTGAACAGCAGTCAGAGGTGCACTTCCTGTAAACACATTAGTTCCAAAGTTTCTAAATTAATTTGTGTCTGTTTTAAGGATAATTACAAAGAGACCTACCTATGGCTAAGAGGTTTGATAAATTTTAACAGACATTCAGAAGAAATTAGCCCAAAAACTAAAAGAAAAGAAAATTGAAGTTAGATTCTGTATAAAATTCAAGGGGGTGGCTAATGTTTTTGCAAGTATCAGATGGCTTTTTGATTAATATTTGCTTATGAAACAATAAAATAAAATGCAAAATCAAACATCAAGGATCTATTTTGTAGTTTACGTAAACTACGTGCTTTCAGAAGAAACGAATGTAAGAGGTGTTTGCAATTTTCGGAGATGTTGGGTTCTTCTGTAAATAAGATAAACATCAGGGATAGTTCTTGTAATAAATCTTTAACTGCACTGAGTGCATTCGTGATCAAGATATCAAAGGGTTAAGTTACCGGTTAAACAAGCCGAAGTGAAGTTTACGACCAGCGCAACAATGTTAACCGTCAGTTGGAACTGGACAAATTTTTGGATGTTTACATACACCGAACGTCCCCACTTGGCTACAGTCACAATAGTCGAGAAATTGTCGTCGAGAATTATAACATCAGCACTCTCCTTAGCCACCTGAGTTAAATCACGAAACAGAAGTTACCATATCAATATAATGAAAAATGTGGCAACAAAAGACATGAGCTGCAATTTTGGATAATTTTTATGGTTGGAAAATTTAGCTCGGATGAGTTAAAGTCAACAAAATGCGTGTGTGGTTTTCCAGCTAAAGGAACATGTTATTCAGTCCAGAGTGGCATAGATAAAGTTTTTACATCAACAATTGCAAAATTAGCAAACACTGAAAAAAAAAACAGGGACTAAGCTTTTTAGCTGGAGAAGTATTATACATACATACACCAAACAAACTTTTGTCAGAAAAAATACTTTTGTTGTTGGCAAACTCCAAAGAATGAAAAAGTAAATTTTGGCTCAAGCTAAAAAAGCCGCAGGAAACTTTTGAAAGGCAAACGAACCATCACAAACACTTATGCCAGAAGATCTGTTATAGCTCGTTAGCAATATACACCAAATTTCAGCATTATACTAAACCTGTCCATATTAATGGGTGAAATTGACAGCCCACCAATATACGGATTTGCGAATATAACCATATTGACAGTCCACCAATAAAACACATGATTGGGAGCATAATTCACTAAAAAGCCCATGAAAATTACCTCAGTCCCCGCGATGCCCATAGCAAGCCCGATATCCGCTTCGTGAAGGGCAGGGGCATCATTTGTGCCATCTCCAGTTACAGCAACAACCTCATTAAATGTTGTTCTCAAATGTTTCACCAATGTATGCTTGTCCAATGGTGAAGAACGAGCCATCACCTGAAACAATAATATTAATAAAAGAAACACAATCAACATATGCACAATACCATTATCTATACCAATTAATCAATTTGGATTCTAGTTAGTCCTAAAATATTATGTCTGAAAAAAGAGTATGCAATGTCCTAATTTAGTTCAACTATAAGATTTGAGATAAAGGAGATATTAAAGGGTATTTGATTTTTTATTTTTTTTTTTGTGTGAAAAAATATGTGTCAGTACCTGGATCTTGGGAATCAACTCATGCAACTCCTCCAAGCTCTTCTCCCGGAAGACAGGACCCTCAATAGCCACACCGTCATCAGTAAGTATCCCGCACTCCCTCGCGATGGCTTTTGCAGTGTTAATATTATCCCCTGTCACCATACGCACGTTCACGCCGGCCGAACGGCAAAGCGCGACCGACTCTCTAACCCCTGGCCTCACAGGATCCTTAATCCCCACAATCCCTATCAAAGTATATCCTGTCTCTGGAATACTATCTCCTTGCTCACAACTCTCGAGGTCCATATACGCAAGGCAAAGAGTCCTCAGAGCCTCGTTCGCAAACTCCTCGATAACAGCCGTCAAACGAGCAAAAGAACTCTCGTCGAGCAGCACGGCCTCGCCATCTGGCCCCACCATTTTGTCGCACGCGGCCAGAATAATCTCGGACGCGCCCTTTGTGTGGGCTCTGAAAACCCTTCCCGGTAGCCCTAACAGAACGCCCATCCGCTTTTTTGTGGAATTAAAGGGCTCGACCTTCACGAGCTCACACTTTTCTCTCTCGGTGTTAAATTCTCCCCCGAGCGACAACCCGAACTCCAATATGGCCGTCTCGGTTGGTGTCCCCAAAATCTCGACCTTACCATCCTTACCCACCACAACCTCCCCGCCTGTGTTATTAAAAATGGACTGCAGCAGAATCTTCACCACTGGCTCGGGAATCTCACTAGGCCCACTCACGTCCATGCAGACGCAAGACTTCACAACGGTCATGTGGTTGGTGGTCAAAGTTCCCGTCTTATCGCTGCAGATACTGGTGGCAGAGCCCATGGTCTCGCATGCCGCCAGGTGGCGCACGAGCGCGCGGTCGTTCATCATCTTCTTCATCGCGAAGGCCAGGCTGAGCGTGACGGCAAGCGGGAGTCCCTCCGGGACGGCCACCACAACAATCGTGACTGCTATGGCAAAATACTCCAGCAGCTCCAAGCAGTCATCCCCCGACCAGATGAGACCCGTCCCATCCTCCCACTTGCGCCCTACTATCTTGCGGACCAGCACAGAAAATGTCACGACAGCGAAAAAGAGCCCGATTTTCCCGATGACAGTGGCCACCCCGTTGAGCTTGACCTGCAGCGGGGTCTCGTCATCCCCTCCCTCGCTCAGCGTCGCCATCAGCTTCCCCCACTGCGTGCGCATCCCCACAGTCGTTACAACCATCTTGCATGCCCCGTTCTGGACCTTTGTGCCCGACAGCAGAAACGGGCTGTCGTCGTTCACGGCCACCGGCTCGCTCTCCCCCGTGAGGCTCGACTCGTCGATCAGCACCGAGAAGCCCGATAGGAAAAGCCCATCTGCAGGCACCTGGTCCCCGATGCTGAGGTGGACGATGTCCCCCGGGAGGAGGTCGTAGATGGAAAGCTTCTGCCGGTACCCATCCCTCGTCACCTGGACCGAGACCTTCTTCTTCTCCCGGTCGAGGTCCCTGAACTGCAGCGACTGCCGGTAGTCACTAGTGGCCGTCACAAACACCACCAGGAGGATGCTGGCGGCTATTCCGAGGCCGTCGTGGGCCCCGCTGGGCCAGCCTTCGGTGGCCAGGCCGACCGCGAGTGACACGAGCGCGCACACTGCTAGGATCATCAGGGTCGTGTCCTGAAGGGCCTCGTAGAAGAAGAACCAGAAGCTGCGGGCCTCGGGCTCTTGAAACCGGTTGGGCCCATAGATGGCCTGGCGGCGGTTAAGAGATTCCGAATCCGACGGGAGGCCAGAGGAGGAGCTCGTGCCGAGCTTGCGGGTCACACCGGCAGGCCCGCCGTGGGCAACGAGTTTCTTAAGGTCGTGGCCTTCTACAATGGAGCTGAGCTCATCTGGGCAGATTTGGAAGCCAGCGGCCTCCACTTCTTTTGGGACGGCATAGTCGCTCAGTTGGGCGCCTGAGGTTAGTTCAGTGTAATTGTAAGAAATCAATCAGAATGCGTATGTATGTATGTCCCGTGATAAATGAAAATTTTCACTCACCTTCTATGAAATGGAACGCAGCTTTGGAGACCAGGACTGCAATGCGTAATTTCTCCTGAAATTTTGGGAAAGAGTAAGTTTCAGATGGCTAGCTAGCTAGCTAGCTACATTTTGGGAGTTTTCTTTAACCACTGCAACTTAAAAAGACAATCTAAAATAACAAGCAGGACAGCCAAATTTTGGGGAAATTCGAAAAAACAAAAATTAAGGGGATAGGAGAATCTACTCACTCTTTTTGCCTTTCCCTCTTTATAATAGGGCATAACAACTCTCAAACAAAAATACATTTTCTGAGTCTCTTGTCGGGAGAAGGACATAAAATGAAAAATCATAATCTGGACAAACTCCGACTCGTGCTCATTAGCACGCCAGGACAAGGCAAGATAAATCTCAGTTTAGTTTCATAATTCATAAGACTAAACAAAGCTAAAACAAAAGAAACCTGATTGGTTTTGCGCATGGCATCAGCCTCATAGCGCTTGGACAAATTGGCAGTAAATCTGAAGCGTCGATTTGAATTCTTGACAAATCCACAAAGATCCCTCCACCGTTGTAGGGCCTCCTTGGACGAATGTTTCGATTTCACTTCCCATTTATCACTCAACAATCTCTCCATCTTTTCTCCCTAATTTCTAGAAAAATCCTTGCACCTTTTTATTTTCAGCTCCCTTTCTGTTTGAATCGGTCTTTACCTTTTCAAGTTTATAGCACCCAAAACCAAAAGGGGCTTATAAAGTATAAACGGCCCAATCAATGAGAATGAAGTCTGAAATCAACGTGATACGAACTAGCCACCCACCCACCAAGAAGCTGCCTAAACTATTTTATTCTGAACAGAAGAAAAAAAATACTCCGTATTAACTAAACCCAGGATGTGTTTTTAAAAAGATGGAACGCTTAAATTACACTAATGGCCTATAAATATAATATAATATTGAGTGATTTGGGTAATTGTAATAGTGAGAGTATGAATGGCGATCGTTGATAATATGGAGCTGTGAATCTCGGTGCAGGGCAAGTGTAGATTTTATATGGTGCTTCCAAGAAAACAAGTAAAAAGGAAAAAGGAAGTTTAGATCTAAAATGCGTCGTAAAATAGAGCGCAAATGCTTTGAAGATTCTTTTAAGTCTGTGGAGTGGGGCCCGACTCGTGCTACTTTTCTTGGTCGTTTTACGCGTTCAACACGCGGTGTCAAATAATTCATCATTTTATTTTACGGCAGCTGCCATTTCATTTGTCCAATATTTTTTTCAAAAAAGGTACATGGAATTTCGTTTTAAGAATCAGTCTTTCTCTTCGTCTACTCACAGTCAATTATTGGAGTAATCTAGTACTGTATATATTTAATTTGATCTAATAATCCACTCCAGACATGGCCAAATCTCGATTCTGGGCCGGTTCAGAGTCGAAGCCGCTAATTTTGGGCCGGAGTATAAAGGAACAAGAAGCTGCCAAACATAAGCATGGGCCGGTCCAAAACGGTTTCGAACCGTCAACCAATTCCAGGACGGGCGGGTTCAACCGATCCCAAGCCGAGCCGTTTTTTNGGGGCTTAAAGAAATTAAATTTAGGTTTAGTTAACATATTATAAGTTGAAATATCAATTAAGTTGAATAAATTTTTGGGTTAAAAATAATATTTTAATTTGTAATATATCAACCAAGTTGCCTAGAATCAAAGTTCTCATAATTCTTCTACTTTAGTTACCTTGAAAAAAAGTAGATGCCAGATTTAACTGACGGTCTAGTAATTGTAGTCGTAGGTCTCTGATGCGTATGAGGGCCGTCGACTGAAGAATGCTTATAACCGGGCTCGACATGCACGAATCAAAGGACATCAAGATGGAGGTTGTCCAGGGGCCAGTGGCGCTAAGGCCGATAGCTAGAAGCTACAACATACCTTAGCGGGCAACAGAGAGTTCCAGCCAAACAGGGTTAGCAGCTAACCCCAATCTTCGGACTGCTCTCAGTCTGTAATGTGGTCGATCCGATGACCAATTGCTCGACAGGTCAATTTTCGAGCAGATCCTCCATGGAGCTGGGGCCGATCTATTCTTCTCGTACCAGAATCCTCTGTACACTATTCTCGTGGTATTCAGCCACAATCGCCCTACTCAGTCCTGCGCGATCAAGACGGCCCATTTCTTTTGCTTGACTCTTTCGACCGGCCTAGTGGACCGGTTTACTCCTTTAGGTATAACTAGTATTCGACCATGTGCATTTGCACACATTTGCACAGTGTAAATAGAATATTATAAATTACATTTATGCATATAGTATTAAAATTATAAATTAGATAATGATATTATGTTTTAAAATTTGATTATTGGTTAAAATAAATAGTACATAACTATTTGATTACATAAAATATAATAAATAATGCAATTTTGAGAGATCGTCAATTTATTAGCTTAAAAATATTAAATTATTATAACATTTGATTATGTGATTTTAAGAAATCTTATTATAACATTAAAATAAATTAAGTTATTTAAAAATACAATCGTTAAATAAGATAAAAAAATATAATATTAATTTTAGAATAAATAACTTAGCAAAAAGTTTACAATATTTTTTTATGTTTATGTAACTTTCATATATCATTTAGTGTAAATTATAGTTATTAGTTTTAATAATAAGTATTATATGATATAATAAAATAGTATAATTATTACTCCGTTAATATAAAATGTAACGATTTTTGTCTTAATTAACCTTAAAAAAAAGTGCAATGAAATATTTTAACATTAATTGGATTGGTAGATTAATAATAATAATAATAATAGAAGATTGTAACATAAAAAGATGGTAAACAATAATAAATATTATTAAATTTTTTGTTAGTATTAAATATAGAGAGAGAGATATATATAAATGATAAAGTTTGTAACGGTTTTTTGAGGGAAATCGAAATGAGGTTTTATTAAATATTTTATTAAATGTTATTAGCTAGCAATTATATATACTAGTAATCAATCTGTGCATTTGCACAGAGAATAATACTTTAAAAAGATAACAATATAAAAAAATCATAATTTAATTCATGAAAAAAAATATGAATTAAGAAAATATTCTCAAAATTGATTTTGTTCAAGTAATTGTTATGGAAGAGCCGTTACAACCATTTTCTTTATGCTAATACATCTGACCATTTTCATGAGTGTGTGTGACTTAAAGATTGAGTACAATTTTGTAAATCCCTAGTCCCTTGATTGGTTTATGCTCATAATTTATGGCATTGAAGCAAGTTATTTTGTAACTTAAAAACAAAATTGAATGCTGAAAATTTTGGAGGGATAATAAAATTTAATGCATGATAATATAATTTAATGCTTTGTTGCTCCTCTTTATATATATATATATATATATATAGATAGAGATATATAGATATCCCAAATCGGGGTCGATTGGTGGGCGCTGAAGGCTTGGGGTGATTGACTGCGTTTGATTTGTGGCTCGTACAGCGGGTGGGATGTCTTAGTCTTTGGCATAATTTTTTCACATGTTTTGATTTCTTTATGTTTTGGAAGATTCAATGTTTATTTGACGTTTATTAATAATTTACGTTTGATATATGAAAAGAACTTTTTTAGCCATGTAACAAGATCGGATAAGATAAACACGTTACAAAATATTAGTAATTTTTATCCGAGCCACATTACAAAATATAATATTTTGGAATTAAACAATAGTGTATTCAATATATAAAAAATAGTCGCTTAAATTTATTTGATTATTTTTGTTCGTATGTGTTTGAATTTGAGTTTGCAACAAATTATAATACTGATTATTGTTTCCTATATGAACGTGTCATTTAAAAAGAGTATGATCATAGTTAGTATCAATGTATGTAAAAAGATGTCCTATTTCAGATTGCGACAAATTTGTTTCCTAAATGTGAGGGACGGCCGAAACAAATGTAAAACATATTTTCATTTCTAAAGTAAATTGAGTGTTAAAAGAATCGATTAAGTGCGTTTGAAATCTTGATGCATGCAATTTTGTGTATAAGATTATATTCCCAAATTTCTTGAATTATAATTTTGATAAATTTTTTTAAATAATATAATCTCACATCCAATCTTGATACATGTTATTTTTTGTATAAGATAATATTCTCAAATTTATTAAATTATTTTTAATTTTTTTATTTTAAATCGATTAAAATCGTGTCAAATCTTGATGCATGCAATTTTCTATAAAAGATACTATTCCCAAATTTCTTGAATTATGTAAAATAGCATACTACTTGGTTTAAAACAAAAGAAATAAATTTATCAACTAAAGTTCAATAAAATAATAATTACTTAAAATATTTGCATCATGAACAGTAACAACCGCCATATTTGACCAGAATGATTATGTACATTAATTACTCTGAGTTTTTTTAATTTGAATTTCAAATGATTGTCCGTCATTTTTCAAAAATATTTAAAAAAGTTACTAATAAAGGTAAAAATGAAATTTTTAGATAGGATTTTGGTTATTATTTCAGGTAAATACGAACATATATATATATATATATACATATATATATATGTATATATATAGATTTGATAGGTATATTTATTTAACTAATAAATTAATAATTTTAGTACTTTTTCAGTTAAATTTAGAAATGGTTTACTTTTTTATTTTTAAAGTGGGTATAATTATTTTTTATATTTGTAATATAGATGTCAAATTAAAAAAAAAAATGACTAATTTCATATATTATACATAAAAAAGTTGACAACAAATAGAGAAAAGACTTATTATGATTTTAAGTTAAGTTATGCTGTTTAAGTGATTTATGATTTAAAAAAAAAGGGTATAAAAGTTTATATCTATATATATATATTTGCCCTTTATATCTATATTGATAATCCAAAACATAAAAAAATTGACAAATGTAATGAAGCATCTAAATCAACGTATAAGATCATGAAGCATAACAAATTGATATTTCCTCCAGCAAAACTCATTCCATGTACGAAATCAACATGAAGCATAAAAAATTGATGATATATATTTCCTTTGGCAAAACTCATTCCATATACGAAATCAAATACCACTTTGCATTATTTTTTGATTTAGTGGGACCAATAATAAAATAATACTTACCAAAAATATTTGCACCATTTAATTGGTAATTATTTGACCAAAATGATTATGTACATTAATTGCATTGATTCTTTTATTTTATTATATTGAAGATCATAATCAGATTAGTTCCCAGAATTAATAAAAATTATCACAAAATGAATTCAAAACAATTTTAAAATTCGAAATTAATGATTAGTGGCAGGATTTTTCAAAAATTCTGAAAAAAATTACTAAGATTAGTAAGTTTTAAATTTTTAGGCGGGATTTTTACTTTTATTTCAGGTAAAATACCAAACCTTTTTATATTATATTTATATAGATATAAATATAGATTTAGAATTTGCATAGAAATATATTATTTCTAATTTTATGAAATACACAATTATTTTATTATATTTATTATGATATTTTCTTATATTAACTATTTTAAATAACATAATAACATTCATTTTTATAATATCTAATTAAATTGAGAAATAATATTTTATAGTATTTCTTAAAAAAATATGTAATTCTATCCAAAAATTAAAAAAAAACGATAAAATGATTATTTTATGTTGTATTAATGAATTAGATTTTTTTATTATTTTTATAAAATAATTTATATTGTTATAAGATGTTTTGTAAATCTATTAATATATAAAGAGGGAATGATATTTGTTTGAAAAAATCAACTAAAAAATCAGCAAAAAAAGATTCCCGCCTAAATCTTTAATATAATGAGCAGGATTTTTGGCGAAAAATTGAATATGCCCGCCAGTCATCAATTCAAATTTTTTGGAGATTTTATTTATTGATTTCAGCCTATTTGGACTTATCTATTTCTACAATCTGATTTTTTTAATCCAAGATTTGAAGGAAAAGATCCACAATAAAAGGAAAAAAGAGAAAATAAAGGGAAGATAATCTCTCTCTTAAAATGAAACAAAAGATTGTTAACCAATCAAAGATTCCGCATTCAATTAAAACTTCTCAAAAATCTTCATTATCTTTTAAAAAACCAAACATTATTCATATCTCCATTTTTTTTTTTCCTCTTCTCCGTATCCCCCTCTTTTTTTTTTCCTCTCTCTTCTTCTTCCCTTAATTCTTCTTCCTTCCTTTGCACACCAAAATTACGAAATTCTTCATCTTATTTCCTAATTTATTCATCTCCTTTGTTTCTCTCCTTCGCAAACACCCAACGCAAAAACCCTCAATTTCTGAGAAGACGAAGTCGTGCACCTACCCGACATCGACAACTCTCGCCGGCAACACGGGGACGGCGGCATGATTGAGATAGGCGGATAACACCATAGTTGAAGGAGAAACGGCCAGAGAGAGGATGAGGCCCGTGTCGGAGATCGACGGACGGCTAACAGCGGCTGATAAAGGATCGTCGGCAGAGAGCAGTGCGGTTGCCAAGCGGTACTATACGATGGAGCCATGTGGTTGTGGAGTTGGTGAAACCCCAAAGCTCCAACGACTGTGATTCAAGTGATGGCGAATTGGAGTCGTGAGCGGCTGTCGGGGCACCGTCGGCTTGGATGGGGTGGATGGAGACCGAGCATCACAACGAAGGCTCCGTCGCTTCGACATTTTTAGTTTTTGGGGTAATTTTTTATTACTGTATTTAGTGCCTTTTATTTCGTTTGAATAACAATAATTTCACTTTGTATTGGGGCTGCTAATGTTGGCGGTGCCGAGCTGTGTCGGGATATGTTTGGAGTGGTGGTGGTATGATATTGTGACGGTGCTGGTAAGTTACCTTTTGGAGCCGAAGCTGGCGAAGGAAGCCACCGGGATTATGCTACACACAACAAGCCTAATGTATATTATGCCGATGACCCTAGCGGGCTGTGTCTATGCCCGAGTAAGTTTCTTGGCTTTTGGTTAGTTTTGCGTGCGATTTTAGCTTATTTAGAAGAATCAAAGCCAGTTAGTATGTTTTTTTTTTTATTATTTGTAAAATTAGTGATGATGGAAATTTTTGGTGAACATAATTAACCTGTAAATAACTCCTTTTCGATGTCTTTCTTGAGGATAACAACAACGATAGATAAATGATAAATATGTCGTGTGTACTGCGTCAGTGGCAGTTCGTTATGTGAAGGTCGATAGTTAATATGCAAATACTAATTATTTTGGTTTTATACTGTATATTTGGTGAGCTTTTTTCTTTTTTACATTTGGATTTGTGGCTATTTGAAATGTTTAAGTTTGTTAGTTTACTTCAATTACGTGATATGGCAAGATTAGAAGTGCTTCTAATTTTAAGCATTTTGTGTGGGTAAATCACTACTTTTTAAGTGCTATTTATGTCAAGCGTGTTATGTGTTTGTTAGTTAGTAGTTCGTAATAACACTGTTCCTTGAAAAATCTTTTATACAGTAGAGAAGTTGTGATGTTCTTATAATATCCAAAGTTCAATAACACTGTTCTTATAACACTGTTATTTTGACTGACTCCGATCAGGGCAGTCACGAAAGGCCACAAAGGAGGTTGTTTCTAACGAGATAAGTTATTGCTTTTAAATTATTGTAATATTGATTGTTTATGTTTCTTCTTGCTGTGATGATAAGTGGTTAAAAGCAGTTGACTCTCTTTTGTTTGTGGTTATCGATTGTGTAGTAGTTTGGAAAAATGTGAACGACCATAAAATAATATTAGCAAAAGGTTGAGGAAGGCCACGATGAGGGCCGAAGATCTCTTGGACGCGCGCATGGTGGCCTGATGGGAGCGTGAAGCACCTCTGTCGGGGAGGGGTTGCTGGAGGATGAGGTGGAGTTGGTGGACCATGGGTTGTGGGCGGCTATTTGAATCAACTTTTGCATTTGGTTTGTAATTTTGTATTCTTCTCATTATATTTTATTAATTTAAAGAATTCATTTGCGACATATTTCATAAACAGTAGTCATACGAATGTTGTAATGATTTATATATGATATATGTTTTAATTTGAATAGTAAAATGGGTTACTAAGTTACACATGGAGAAGAATACCAAAATTGTTGGGAAAAAAACCTAAGCCCAATGAGAACTAAGTTATTACATATTGATCCCATATTTTTTGTTTATAAAATTATTTAATGAATATTTTTAATTTATAAATATTAATAAATATTTCTTACCCGTACACTGCACGGGACTCAAACTAGTTGAGTTGATAAAGAAATGATTTATTTATAAATATAGTGAAATTATTTTTTATTTTATTTATGCAATATGGATCTCAAATCGAAGATCAGTAAAATATAATTATTTTGGTAGATCATATATAAAAAATAAAATACAAATAATAAATTTATAAAGTTTTAAAAATAAAAGAAATATATATTTATATAATAATTAATATATAAATTAAATAAAAATATAAAAGTAGTATATAGTAACTTAAGAAAAAAAGAAAGCTAAAATAGGTTATGGAAATTCTCAAGTCTAATTACAAAGCACCAATTTGTGTAACAAATAAGATTACGAAGTATGTCAGGAGATGAGATGTTATATATAGATTCATTACCAAATTAATTTGATAATTGTAATATTTTGTCTTATATAGTGTCTTCTTGTACATACAGCCAATGGTGATAGGAGAAGCCGACGGCGATTGGTGATCTCATGGGAGTTATAAAGATGATAGGCCTCTCCGTATTCTCTTTCTCCTAACCGCATATCACATCTCTCTCTCATCATTTTTTTTTTTTTTTTGTTTTTCACATTTTTTCTAAATCCCGCATTACAGCAAAACTACGTTGAAGCTTGCGTGTTTTTGTCGTTTCCTGCAGGTCGTGGGAATTGAAAATGTCCATTTCTATCAATCCATTCGTCTTTCGCATGTATCATTGTTCTGATGCATTGTCGCAATAAATTGTCAGAATTTTATTTTTTTTTTTGTATTTTTAGTTTTCTCGGGTGGAGAAATTGCCGGTTGCAATTTTTCTATTGCAAATCTGAGGAATTGAAAAAGTCGCCTGAAAATAATCCTATATTTATGAAAAAAAAAAGATGGCTGCTTTGGGTAATACAAACTTTTACTTGTGTAAATCCTCGGATTTAGGCTGCTACGGTGCCGCTTCCGTTAAGGCGACGCCATTGAAGGCGATAGTGTTTCTCGGCAGAGGTCGGAAATCAGAGATTTACAGTGGATCGAGCTTCGTACCGCCAATTAAGGCAATGGAAGCTTCCGAAACGACGACGCACCGTGGAAAACAATCGGTACGCAATTCCCACAAATGCTCCGATGATTCAGGTATTTCACGATATGTTTTTTTCCGCCTGATCCGTTTCCTTTTTTTTTTTTTTCTTTTTTTCTTTTTCGGTTTTCGCCGCTTGAATAGTTGCAGTAAGAATCGATTGGAATTCTTTAGGGTGTAATATGCTGCAACTTTTATTTTTATAAGTATCATCAATTTACCTTTTCCTTTTCTTTTTATGTGAAAAAAATTGATCATCGTGTAGGGGAAAGCATACTTAAAACATCTACTGTTGGAAACTCGTCAAATATCTTGTGGCACAAGTGTTCTGTAGAAAAAGGCGACAGGCAGGCTTTGCTCAACCAGAAGGGGTGTGTTATTTGGATTACTGGGCTAAGTGGATCGGGTTCGTATGTGTTGATGTGCTCTATATTTTAATTGTCCTTTTGATCATTCATCAGGTGTGGGGTGACCTTGTTCTATGTACTTATTTTCAATTATTAATTTTTATTTGTTTATTTTTGGTTTTCTCGCAGAACCTTTGATTTCTGCATTTTGTAACTGAGATGCTGGCTGTGACTGAATAATGTTACAATATTTTTAGCTTGAATATCTTGAAACTTCATTATTATGATGTAAAACAATGGGACTATGCTTGCCAAAAATCGGTGTTTCAGCATATTGGATGAATGCTTTTTTTGGGCATATGTTTAACCGGATGAATGAAGCTACTGCTGATAGTTTTATTTGTCTGTGACGGGTGGTTTGTAATTGAGGAGAAATTGGGAGTCTGACATTTTGCTGCATTTGTTTGTCATCTTGAAATCTCTGAAGCATTTCTTGCGACAGAGGCAAAAATAGAAAAATGACTGGTTCCATGTCTTTTCCTTTCGGTCATAGAACTCACCAATTTTCCTTGTGTGTGTGTGTGTGTTTTTTTTCATGTTTGGGTATTCAGTAGTGAAGAAAATGATATGTAATTAGTTTGTTTATCATTTTTTCTTCAGGAAAAAGCACCGTGGCATGCGCTTTAAGTCGTGCCTTACATGCAAGAGGAAAGCTCACATACATCCTTGATGGGGATAACTGCAGGCACGGTCTCAATTGCGATCTTAGCTTTAAATCTGAGGATCGAGCTGAGAACATCCGAAGGATAGGTCGGTTTGTTTTCTCAATTACAACTTGGCGATTCTACTTGGTGTTGTTTTGTTATGTTTCGGTTTCAATCAATTCTTTTCCCTCCCTAAACAGGGGAGGTGGCTAAACTCTTTGCTGATGCTGGAGTCATTTGCATTGCGAGTCTAATATCGCCGTTCAGGAAGGAACGAGATGCTTGCCGTAATTTACTGCCTGAAGGAGATTTTATAGAGGTATAATATTTCTGCCTCTATAAAATTTGATATGTGTGCCTTTAGGTTCTTTTGGTTTGTGCACGTGTAACAAAAGTTATCAAACAGTTTATTTTTTTATTTTTTTATTTTTTTGGGTGGCGAAAATCTAACTAAAAGATTGTATTTTTAACTAAAATAAAAAACAACAACAACAACATTGGGGTAAGCTGTATTTTTAACTAAAATAGTTTGACAAAATATGTAGGTGTATATGGATGTACCCCTAGAAGTCTGTGAGACAAGGGACCCAAAGGGTCTGTACAAGCTTGCACGAGCTGGAAAGATCAAAGGTTTGTTTCGTAGCTCGTTCAGAGATTAAGATTCTAAAAAAACTGGCTATTTCTTTTCTTTCTTTTTTCATTGTGTTGTATCATTTATTTATTGATTCTGTGGCTATTTATGAGAAAAACATAAATCTGAAAGATTATGCCATTCGAATTGATGGGATACCTCCACTCACGATTGCATCTTTCCATATGTATTTGGTATATTTAGCCTTTGAACTATTAGCCGTGGGTAGACATTTTTGGTGGTGGATATCATAGGTTGGCATTTTATGTATGTTGAAGTTTAGGCCGTAGCAAATAGAGTCATAGGAATTAGGATTTGGTTAGCTACTAAAGTTTGGGTGATGTGCTGTATATCCTAAACAACTAGTGTTAGGTGAGAGCTACTATGAGTAAAGGTGAGGCCAATCACCAATGTCAGTGCTTTTAAAGCAAACCCTCTAGTTTGGCAGATAAGGTCACTAGTTAATTGGATTCATGATCTGGCACACAAATGCACTACAATAAACTCAGCTTATATATCTCAGCAGATAATGGATGCTATTGATATACTTTTTGAATTATCTTATTTGTTTATTTTTTTTTATTTTTTTATTTTCGTTCTTTGTCTAATTTGCCATCAGATTGGAGTCCTCCTGCATCTGTTTCCAATCTTACTTTAAGATTACAGAGTTTAACATATATAATGCAAATAACATAAAAATTGACTCAAAAAATGATATTTGTTTCTTCAAATAAAAAAAGTTAAAAAAAAAAATTGAAAGAAGCGCACACACATACACATATATATTTTTTTGTCTTTGAGGAGACAGAAATAGCCGTTTTATGCTACAGTGCATAGCCTTTTGTAGATAACGGCTTCTATTGGTTGTGCTATACAGGTTTCACAGGCGTTGATGATCCATATGAACCACCATTGAACTCTGAGGTATGCACTTTAGTAATTTTCATTTATGGGCAGAACAGTTTGTTTAAGTTAACGCATCCGTGCTCATGTTGTTAAGAGTATGAAGTGCTTATGCACTGGTTCGTTGGATTTGCTTACTATGGCAAATGCAGCCCTCCATTAATCATTTGAAAAATGTTGTCAATATAGTCCATTTCTAATCTCCGTTGTTTTTTTTTTTTTTTTCCCTTTTATCAATTTAACTTTGATACTTGTGATGATGTTGACTTTCGCAGATAGTGTTGCAACAAAGAGAAGAAAGTTGTGACAGTCCAACTGTTCAGGCTGAAAAAGTAGTTTCTTACTTGGAAACAAAAGGTTACCTGGAGGCATAGTTGGAAAATCCGTGGTCTCTTGGCCACCAATACAGATTAATTTTTTCTGTTTAAATGATTAATCATTCTTTGAATAGTCAAACAGTTAGTTGTCGGTTTGATCAATCAACCCTGAGACGAGTCACTGTTTGCACCCCTGCGAGATGCATAAGTGTAAGTTGATATATGTATCTTTAGATTCATCAAACTTGTATCCAGTTGATAATAAACCATTGTTTAGATCAATTTATATTTTGCTTGTACTGCATTAAAAAAAGAATTATAAGAGTAGGGTGTTGTATTTTCATTATTTTGCCTAGTATATGATGTTTAATCAATAAATGACACTGGCTCTATTGTAATGAATGTAATAATCTTAGCAGAAGCATATATTATAGAATGGCATCTGAGGTTCCATTTTTTCATATATTCATTTTAAGAGAATATGTAGGGAGAAAATTATAAATACGCCTTGACATTAAAGCAAACCATTCTTAAGAATTCAAGATAAATGAGTTCATAATATAAATTTGGTCACAATAAACAGGGTGGAATCCTTGTTCACGAGACAAAGAAACGGAAAACGAATTGGAGTGTCACCTTAAAACAAATGCTCCAAATGTTAAAAATGAGGTTCTGAAAAACTGTTGTAATATATTTCCTTATAAAACGTATTGAAAAATTGTTGTGGTACATTTCATTATAAAGCGTAATCATATATCAACATAGCCCAAAGCAACATACATCCTCTCCACCACACTATATAATATATATACTATTGTTTACCTTGTTAATTCTAATGATCTCTCATCCTACCAAATATGAATACAACAGGAGGAAATGCAATATATATATATATATATATATATATATATATATATATATAATATATACATCACACACCAAAACCTCTATATCTGTTCTCCCTCCACTCCCAAGGTAGCCTCCATCTCCTGCACCAATATACCGACACCCTAGGCCACACCGGGAACCCGAACGTCTGATCGAGTGGCCGATCAGCCCCTCCCCGCACCTCCAACGGCAACCAAACGTACCTCGAGTCCCTCAGGTCTGCCGGATTCCACCTGTCTGCCATGAAAATAAACGAGCCGGGCAACCCGTGCAGCTGCACCACATGCGTACCTTGCGCGAAGAACGTGACCCCCCGGAAAACCCGGCCCCCACCCACGCACGGGTTCCCCACCTCCTCCCACGGGCCCATAACCGACCCGGCCGCGTGCACGAGCGCCTCGTTCGGTGCCCATCCAGTGCACCCGGATGTGATCATGTAGTACACGCCACCGTGCTTGAACAGCGCAGGGGCCTCCCGGTGCTGCCGCAGAAGGACCCTGCTGCCGCCGTTTGCCACGTCGAGGTAGTCCTCGCACAGCAGGCCCGCGTGGAGCTCGCTGTTGTCCTCAGACGAGTAGATGAGGTAGGCAGTCCCATCGTCATCCTTGAAGACGGTCATGTCCCGGCTCTCGCTCCCGTTGGGCCGCATGCTGCCGAGGTACACAAACGGGCCTGTGGGCTGGTCGGCAACAGCAACACCCGCGGAGGCCCATGTGTAGTTGCCATTGTCCACGTGCATCCACATCACGTACTTGCGTGTCCGGTCGTTGTAGACGACCTTGGGCCGCTCGAGGACGTTCGATGGGTGGAGGTCGTGGGTCTTGTTGCCGGGCTCGGCAGCCAGTACGATGCCCTCGTTCTTCCATGTCCATAGGTCCTTTGAGGAATAGCAAGCAACACCAATGATATCCACCTGTGTGTGTGTGTGTCAGTTTAAATAATATTACAAAGGAAATGCAAATCACATATCATATTATCATAAAAATAAAGTACATGTGTTCTCCAGTAGACACGTTTTGTAGGTTTCGGAACAGACAACTCTTTAAGATCACTTTCCAGGTAGTAGACACCGCAGTTACTTTTCAGCCTAAGCTACCACATTATCTTTAAGATCACTTTCCAGGTAGTAGACACCGCAATTACTTTTCAGCCTAAGCTACCACATTATATTCTCTCAAATGTCAAATGAGAGGAAATGCAAAAGAGGAGGCTCATGAACTCACAAGTCTTACAAATTTTACTATATCACCACCACTCATGAGAATTTGGAAACTTGCATCTTCTATTCTATAGCATATCCTGACAGAGATTTTATATTCATCAATGATGACAGAATGAAATCGTCAGCAAGTTCACATAGATATGCAAGAACATAACTATAACAGAGCTCATCAAGAAGATTCTACTAAACTCCACAAGTAAAGAGTAAAACTTCCTAAAGCAACAAGCAAAGCAATTCCACAATACAAATTACACTATCACAGCATATGTTTAATTAGACAACAAAAAATGCCTCAAGAATTAATATATGTATATATGAACAAAAGGAAACTATATCATAAATCAAGAATATACCCGTGAGTATCCATTTTTGTGAGCTTGGTAAGTGGGTCCATCTTTATATTCCCCATACCAATAGTACTTACTCGACCTCTCGTCATACACAATACCACCCCCATGGGCCTGAATCGGATTTCCTTCAGTGTCAAGCCATGTTCTCCCTGGGTAATAGTAAAATTTGTCGCTTTCAGCACACATCATGGTATCTACGGCCGTCTCTATTTTAGGAAAGAATACATGCCGTATTTGGGAATACTCGTCAAGAAACTCATCAATTAAAGTGGTTGGCGGCTTAGGTTTTCTCATAACAGCACGTGGAGATCTCCTTCTTGGCGGAGGCATTTGGATACTTTCATCCTCAATTACTTCTGCTTCACTTAAGAGCGGATGCTGACTCATTTTCACAACGAGCTCTCTATTTAGAATTTCAAGGCGGCATATTGAAGTGTAGAGATGAAACAAGAGAACAAATCCAACAAGGCTCCACACGAAGTATGCTAAAGAGCACCTGATCCATGTTTTTTGGGATTTGTTCCTCCTTTTCAATTTTATGTCCTTTCTATATCCAAAAAGATGCTGCATTTTAAAGCACTGCAAGTTACGGAGGTCAGAAACTATCATTAGAACCATACAATATCATCCTCGGAACATAATTAATTGGGCTTTAATATAGGAAATGTGGACATAACCACCATTCTAAACTCTATCCAAGTCTGCTCTGTTTGTGAAGACAAACATCAGTGAGAAACGGAATTACTGTCAACTGCACAGAACTTCCCCATTGTCCATGTTCCGAAAAGCTTTGTTTCACAAAAAATGACAATAAACAGATCCATACAGAAGATCCATTAGCAAAACAACCTAAATCCAGGAAATACACATAGATATAGAAATAATCTTAACTTTTGCTAAACTCGAATAAGCTTACCCAAATGAAGCAGCTTCAGAAATGGAAAAGAATATTTGGTATGAGTTATCAGTTGCCGCTAACTTCTTAATTCGCTTTAATCATTCGAAACTCATCGAAACTTTTCCAGAATTAGTTAGATTCTCTGCTTAATTAGATGAGCGGCGTGAAGAAGACGATCAAAGAGTAAAATAGAAAGAGAGTTGGATTGTTGGTGAGGTTTTATGTTGCTGATCGGTTGGTGATGCTGACTACTCCAAATTTACCCTTCCAACATTTTTGGTGGTGTTGTCATCCATCCATTTGGTGGTATGATTCTTAACAAAAAACCCAAAGGAACCAAGAACATAATCCCGAAGACGGCCCCTCCGAAGTCCGCTGAAAAATAAAAAATAGTACTCTCACCGTAATTAAAAACTAGTAAGAAGCTTATTAATATAAAAATATAACATAATATAATAATTTACTTTTTATCTTTTTTTTTTTTTTTAATGATATGAAAAACCCATATAAATATTGTTTAGAGTTTTTTCTACATAAGTATATAAATTTTAACATTTGCAAATCTAAGAAATACATAGAATTCCTATTAAATTTCTCTGTTTGAACTAATATCTTATTAGAATAATGTTTTTTATTCCATATCTCGTCTTAAAGTTATAAAATTGTGGTTATATTTAAAATAATATTTATTTTCTAAATGCAATTAAGTCTCTAAAATAATTTAATACAAAGTGGATGTAATCTTATTTATTTCAAAGTTATAAAACTTAATTGTTTTCAATTAAGACACTTGATAAATTATTAATTAGTTAATTTTTTCCAATTTATAGTAATATACGTTAGTTATGCTTGAAATAAATGTTTACCTAAATTTTATATATTTTAGTATAAAATTTTTCTAATGTGTGCAGTCAAATACATCAAAATATATTTTTATGCTAAATTAATTTATTTAGAATTTATTTATATAGTAATTTTGTGCGATTATAAGTCTATCAATTTCACGAATTTAAAATGTTATATTTAACATATCAATTCCAAAAATTTTATTTTATTTATTTTATTTTATTTTTTTACGACTGGAGGTTTCCCCAGGTTCACTCAGAGACTTCACCACGAACTGTCAGCCCCCCCACGGGGTGCGGGCCTAACGGCCTATGGAACGATCAGAGGTGTGGGACTAATCCTCCAAGAGGAGTGAGGTGCTCCATCCTCATTCCTCACGATAGTTACTGTCGATCCTCTGACCTTCGCTTTCACAGGGAGTTTCACTCTCCCACTAAGCCAGTGGACTACATGCCTTGGGGATTGGGGGCACTACATGTCCTGGGGGCATTTTTAGTGGATACTGTTTTTCGGGTTTTTTGGTAAATAGAATTGACTATGAATTTGGAAAGAATATATAAATTTTTAAATCTAGTGAAAATATCTCTTAAATCATATATCCAATCCCAAGTTTCTAGAATTCTATTATGAGAAATTATATATTGTTTTTTAAACATAATAAAAATAAAAAATATCATATTTAAGAGGTTAGTGTCTATGAGATGCTACCAATTAACCATAAAATAAGATGTTAAAAAATAATTGATGGAAACTACACGTATATAATTTTCTTTTGGTTTATCTTTATTTAAGATCCACGAACAAATCAAACAAAATGTAATGTTTTATTCATGAAAAACCTATCACATTTATTGGGAATCAAAATAATTTAATTAACATCACACATATCTTGCATGTCAAAGATATCATGCCAAAAAATATGTGATATAGATATAAGTTAAAAATTTAAAAACATTTAGATGTCCAAAAAAAACGTTCAAAAAATCCGTAATGGATATCATGATATCATGCCAAGTTATAATAAAATGAAGGGAGTAATTTTTAGAAAAATTAACTTCACAAATTTAAGGTCAAGAATTTTTTTAAAAAATGATAACAATTTTCCTTTATTAATAACTTTATGGTTTAGATTAAGTTTTCTTAAACCAAAACGATTTTTGTTCCACAAGTGTAGTTTGTAGAAATGATATGTTAAAACATGTTTGGTTTTGATATCTCGTGGATTTTTGTTGCAAGTATTTTTCCCCTACGAAAGCTAATTCGAGTTATTATATTATGATAGTTTATTCTATTAAAATATGATATGATGTAGATAACTTTTCCTTAAAAAAATCATATAAAACTATTTGTTTTATTTTTTTCAATCTCATTAAATTCTTTTTAAAATATGATATGACAAGATTTAAAAAATAAATATAAATACAAATGAAACAACCCATTAATTACACATATAAACTTTACAATAATATAAATAATGTTGATGGGAAAGAGGATAAAATATTTTTTAAATCAATTCATTTCCTTAAATAAAATCAACTCATTTAAACATACATACAATGATAAAATATGGTTAATGAAAGTGGCGAAAAGAATATGAATAATATTTCTTAAAGCATATCCGGATTTTTCAAAAATAAACCCGGCTAGTATTTATTTAAACAAATGATATCCTAATATAGTAAAAAAGTTTTTTGGCGGAAAATAGTTACTATTTTAAAAATAATCAAACCTTTTTATATATATATAGATTTTTTGGTTGTCAATAATAGGGTAGTTTATTTATTTAGAAAAAAAATAAGTGGACTAAAAAAAAAAACAAGGGGTGGACAAAAATAAAAAGAACGTATTTTCATAAAATATTTTTTTAATAAAGTTTTATTAGAAAAATATATTTCCGTAATACGTTTTAAATTTATATTTATAAAATAAAAAAAATATTTCCATTTAAAAAAGGGAAATTAAATAAAAAATGATCTTTTATTTGTAGCTGATTTGCTACGCAACGAAGAGGAACGATAAACACGAAAGTGGGTGACTTGCGGAACCTTTTACCCTTATAGCGAGATAGGCCTTGTTCCAAACCTTGGTCGTTAAGGGTTTTGAGAAACATATTTTCAAAATATGTTTTTTATTTCTATAATTTAATTAAAAAAAATCTTTTAAAACGCATAACCGAAATACGTTTTTAATTTACTCAAAACACGTTCATTAATAAATGCGTTTTAATAAAACACATCATTCGTTTTAATAAAAAAGAAAAGGAAAACGTATAATGAAAATACGTTTTACAATTAAGTAGTAGTAAAACGTATTCTGATATAAAATTGTAAATTATTAGTTGAATTTACTGGAAAAAAATAATTTTTGTATTTTTAATGAATATTAGTACTAAAAAATATGATGATCATAAAAATACTATTTATAATAAAATGTTGATATTTACACTCTTAGATAAAACACAGATCATCCTCAATCACACCAGTGTCAAATACTTTGGACTCCAAAAATTATTAATTTAAGTAACCAAAATCTTACAGTGAAGCATTAATTTCAGAATGCTATGGTAAATTAGTATTAAATTTTAAGTTACTTTGCATTAGACTCCAAATAATGGGCCCGAATGCAAGAAAGCCCAACTAAACTAGGGTTTAGTTCCTTCTCTCTCCCCTATAAATGCTCAGTGGCAGCCATAACCCTCCCACTTCTCTCTCTCATACACACGACGGCCTCCTGAGCCAAAACCCCAGATGGGATCCACCCTCTCCAGCTTAATCGGCGACGGCCATGGAATCAACCAACGGCGAGTCATCTGGACCTTCGCTCGTCCAGGTCTTCCACTCGTCTCCACGCTGGCGGCTCCATTACGAGTCCACCAAGCAATTGATGTGGGCCGCAACTCGCTTTCGACCGCAACTCGCTTTCGACCGCAACTCGGCAACTGGTAAGATCCCTTTAATCTGCTTCCCAACTCGCATCCAATTTAAAAACCCGAACACTATAATCATTGATGCTTTTCGGGCTCAATTCCGAGGTCATCATCAATTCAGGCATAAATTTGCTGTTAGCGAAGGCTAACTCGTATTTTATCGGTTTTTTTTGGCCCTGTCAGTTTTTCCCGATCTTATTGCTGTTTTTTTGTTCTGTAATTTTTTATTTCTTATTTTTCCTCCGTAGATGGTGGTGGGTTTCTCGGCCACATGGTGTGGACCGTGCAAGATGATGGAACTGCCGCCATTCCCACTGCGCTCAACCACGTCACTAACCTGATCAACGGCATCGCGAAGGGTAGACGCTACGCCTGCATCTCCGGTGGAGGAAAGACTATCGAGATCTGTAACTTCCTTGGGCAGAAGAGGGTATGAGGAATTTATGGCAGTTCTTTTTGTGCATTTTAATAAGCTGTAGAAGACTAAGACTTTACCTGATGTTGTGTGGTAGGTATTCCTGTCTGTTTGTTTTGGGATGTTATTCTTCTATGAATGGTAGTAAAGAATTCCACGCCCTTTATTGGATTTTTCAAAAGAAACACATAAGAACGAGATTGTGTGAATTATGCCTTTAGAATTCACTGCAGCAGAGTAGGTACTTTCAAGCTTCTGCAGGAATAGTGCTTGTACCGCTCCTTATATTGACTGGTATTCTCCTATGAGTGGTAGTAAAGAATTCCATGTTCTTTATTGATTTTTTCAAAAGAAACACAGAAGAAGAGTTTGTATGAATTATGCAGTTGAGTCACTGCAACAGAAATTATAAGTAGTTGAGAATCAGAAGCTAGTAGCTCCTGGTACGAATTTCAATGTACAGAGTTCAGTAAATTAGTTACACATTGCTTAATTGTCTATACAAGTCGAACTAGAATTGTCCTGAGCCAAACCAATGGTTGAAATTTTTAAAATATTATTTTTTGTGGTCTAATCCAGTGAGAAGCTCATGATCAGTTGCAAAATTACTCCATTATTTAATCAGATTTGGATATATCCCTTCACCAATCTAATGTGTTATTGACTTTATCCTTTTATTTCAGTACATGCAGAGAAAGATAAGCACCAGGGGTGTATGATTTAGTTGCTGTCTTAACTCACAAGGGTTGAAGTGCCGATTCTGGGCATCATGTCGCCTGGGTTAAGCAAGAAAACGGCCAGTCTTCTCCTTTTTTTTTGGGTTTAGGGTTTTGGGGTTTAGGGTTTAGGGTTTTAGGGTTCAGGGTTTAGGGTTTAGGGTTTAGGGTTTAGGGTTNCCTAAACCCTAAACCCTAAACCCTAAACCCTAAACCCTAAACCCTAAACCCTAAAACCCTAAACCCTAAACCCTAATATAGCATCTGTGATAGGAAATTAGGGTTAGAATCGCACTGGAAGAGGCAGAAGAATAATTAGGTTTTTTCAAGGCCATCTCCTCGCTATCACTTTCTCTCAACCGAAAAGAGGCGGAAGAATATGGCGTCTGTCCTCTCTCTCTCTCTCTCAATCGAAAGGAGGCGGAAGAATATAGGAAATTATTAGGGTTTTCTAGAGGTTCGTATTTAAATGTGATGTGATGAATGGATTTTGGATAGGACCAAAGGCTTAAAAGCCCATATATCTTGAAACTATAAAAAAAGACTAAATAAATACTAAATAGTCGTATATTTAACACTGCATTAATTGGGCTCACGGGCTAAAGTGTAGCAATTTAGGGGGTGATTGTTTATCAATTCACCTCAAAAAAATCCAATCAAAATTCAAATTTAATTCAACTTTAACCTAACTCTACTTTTTCCAATATTATCAATATAATTAAATAATAAAAACCAATCATTCTTACACATCACATCAACTTTAATTCACTATTCATCTTCTCACATAATTTTAACTAACCACCACTTCCAATCATTTTTCTCTCACTTTTACATCATATCAACTTTAATTATTTTATTTTAAATATTATTTAATATATCCACCAACAACTAACTATACCAACTTTTATCAAAAGTAACTATAGTTAAAAAAAATCAAATAATTTCTAGGTGAATTTATAAACAATCACCAGAAACAAAATCATAATGCCTCCCACCAACTACATAATATCGGACAAAATTTCATAAACCCTAAATCGCACAGGCCCACAAACAGAAAACCTCAATTACTATACACCCCTTCCACACAACAAGATGAGCATAAACACTAATCCAAAGTTTAGACCGATTTCAGAACATCATCCCGGTAGAAAAATTAAATCGAAAAAAAAATGAAAGACTCAATCAAATTCAGAAACATACCACACAGCAGATGAAGTTTCTTTTCGAGGCTACAAAATACAGTGTATGAGAACCCTACACACTTGCTGGAACCAATCTATGCATAACTTCCTATGACATGCAACGGACGCATGCAATAAAGCCTACAAAGTAAATATTGCTTGCACATAAGCAAATTGCAACTTCTCTAGAAGATATCTTTAATAAATACCAGAAGAAGACATAACATGACAGAAAATTTGGTTTATAGACTACATTTATCAAGTCACCACATGAAAATATCAAGGGAAACTTTAAAAAAAAAACTGATGGTAAGTTAAACCACTACTATGATCGAGCAGAGCCTAAGTAACAAAACTAGATAAAAATGAGGTCACCTTCAGTACAGAGAGATAAGAATCTGCAAGTCCCTTATATTTACCAACCACAGCAATTCTAACAGGTGAAAAAAAAAAGGGGAAACAATCATTAAATTCCAAACAAGTTCTTTCAGCAGATCACATAGATCTGCCCCAGATGTCCCTAGATGTCCATACCTCCAGTGCAGTTCCCTAGTGTGACTACACATAATATACGAAAGTATTATATCCAAACAGTTGCTGGAACTTTGGAAAAGTGAAACTATGAATCTATTAGGTTCAGAACCTTTAAAATTGCCTCATGGACCTTCTGGTCCTAAACAGAAAGATAATATAAGATTCTAATAATTTGTCAAATTCAATTGTAAAACAATACCGAAGCAAGAGTACCGTTACTTACTCTCAAAAGTAAGGGAACATGCCAGATGTTGGAAACGTCATAGAGTGTGATTATATTCTCTATCTGGGATACATCAACTACTATTAAGGAAACTTTAGCATACTTGCACAATACAAGTATTATGTTATTATTATTGTTATACCTGAACATGGCAAAAACGAGAAAGCTTTTCTTTGACATTTCCATCAAGTTCATAAAGAATGAAGTTAACAAACTTAATCAGAGATATAACTCCATGAAGTTTTAGCATATGATAAAAAACGTCAAGTTTGGTTGAGCTCGAGTCGGCTCAGCTCTTTGAAAGTAAACACATACACAGGGAAAAGAGAGAGAGAGAGAGAGAGAGAGAGACAATTGTGTTGCGGCACGCTAAAATATTTGGTATTAGACCCAAGCTTCTAAGTCCCCTAACACTGTGTTGAGTTGGCGTTGTTTTCTGTCCATGAAAAAACCAATGACATTAACATGTTTATACTAAGAATCTACATATGTTTGGATTCTGCATAGAATTGTATTCAATAAGAAATACAATTCTTGTGAAAATTCCATTTAGAAATTGAAAATAGTAATAGAGGTCCATGTGCAAAATACAAATGAATAAATGACTAAATAAAAATAAGACTGTCAGAGTACATCCAATTAAAAGACTGCATAGTAATACTTCTTACACGGACAGAAGCATCGACCATTCCTTTCAATCCGTACTTTGGTGCCCAAGCCATTTCTTCAATGTCAAATTGTTAAGGGGACATTTATTAACCAATAATGTCAATTATCAGCAAAGTTAAAAGTTTCTGAAAAAAAATGTCTAAATGTCAAAAATTGAGGCCATCAAATCAATTTGATGCAACGTTTCCAATCCTATTATACAAGATAATTCTAATAGATATAAAATCTCATTTTGGTTCTTATAATAGTTTTAAAATCTTGCAAATTCATTCTAGCCAAGCCTTATCCAATTCAATATATTAGGAATTTCCCAAATCAAAATCTTCCAAATATCCATTTCATTCACTACAATACAAAAGGGAAATGAGAGTTTGGGTCAAGAACAAGCAAAATAACCATATCTAATATATTCATTATCAAAAGTCCATGCACCTAATTTAATGAAAAATGAAAATAATGAGGTACAAAGTATTAGCAGAGAAATTAAGAATTCTCCACCTTCACATGCGTCTATGCTCTCTAGATTTTCAATTCTGCAGAACTTTTAGTGGTTTTCGATTATATCATTCTATGGACACTACATTTGTTAAAATTCAATATATTATTTACATCCAAAATCATATAGCACCCCAATTAAGAGTGAAATCAGCCAAAAATCACACGCAACCCCATATGCAGCCGAACGTAAAATCAGGTTTTCCAGTACAGACCGAATTTAACCGGCAACATTCAACCAAAATCTGAAAACCAAACACTCACCTGGAAGCGCCGAGAGCCGAAAGGGACCACGCAACCCTCCGCTGCCGCTGGCTGTCGCACCGTCGGTCGTCGCTCATAGGCAAGGCCGTCGTCCGGCAGGTACGTCGCCAGATCCGTAGCCACCCCGCGCGTTACTGACAACACCTTGCAGAGCTGTGTCCAACGCCGCCGTCTGGCGAACTTCTTCAAGCTCCTCCCAACCTATACAAGGTCTTTCTCGCTTTCTCTGAGCCACTAGTGGCTTATGTAGTGGTCGGCATTCCTGTCCGTCGCCTACATCCATGGCAGGACGAGGACCTTCAACTGACCGCCGCTCATCGTCGAACAGGCTACACCAATTACCGACTTGCCCCAGCTAGATCTTCAACAAATTTCGGCGAAACCAAGCTTTGAGAGGTTGTTGGAAGAAGTCACCAACGGTTCCAGCAGCAGGTAACAAGCGCTTCCAAACCTCCTTAGCCAAGGAGCAGTCCCGCAAAACATGGAGTACCGATTCCCACTCATCGCAATACTCACACGCAGCTGATGTCGAGATGTGGCGCCGAACACGTTCCAAGTTAGTAAGAAGACGATCTTTAGCAGCCAACCACAGAGAGGTTTGGGCCCGTTGCGGGGCCTGGGCTCGCCAAATGATCCTCCATAATTGATAATTCGGATCCCTCTCAGAAGTCGAAATCGCTTGGTAGGCTGATTTCGTTGAAAATCGGCCATCCTCGGAGAATCCCCATGTAATACGGTCTTCGGCAGCCGTCTCTTTCGGAGGAAGCGTACCCGCTATGCGCAATACCACAGAAGCAAGTAAGACCCCATGGATACATTCCCATCGCCAGTTCCCTCGGGCATCCACTAGCTCAGCGACCGTCGAAAAAATGTTTACTATATGCGTGTGGTCCGTCACAAACCGAACCAGCGGTCCTTCCATGCCAAGCCATGAGTCGAGCCAAAAACGTACCTTTTCGCCGTTGCCCAGAACCCACCGAATTCCACTGATCACCTGAGGCCAAAGCGTGCGAATAGCAGGTATTAGTGTCGAGCCCTGCTTCCAATTGATCAATTCTAGACTCGTTGAGAAATTCAATGCATATTTTGCCTTCAGGACACGCACCCATAAGGCCTCCGGTTTTGTTAATAACCCCCATCCCAACATCAACAAAACACTATTCATTCGACGGAGGTTCTTAACACCTAGTCCCCCCTCGACTTTCGGTTTGCACACGTCTTTCCAAGCAACCAAATGTATGCTCTTACGTTCATTAGTCCCACCCCATACGAAAGCCCGACTCCGCCGCTCGAGTCCCGCTGTCGTGGAATTTGGTAGCATCGTCGTCTGCATAGAGTAATAAGGTAATGTGTTCAGAACTGATTGAGTTAGGGTCACCCTCCCGGCCAAGGATAGAGAGTTCATACGCCATCCGGCTAAACGCCTCTCCGCTTGTTCAACAATATGGTTATACGTGGTTTTAGAAACTCGTCCATGAAGGACTGGCACCCCCAGATATTTTCCCAAATTGTCCGTTAACTTGAAGTTGAGGACCGATGCCAATCTACTTTGTTCCTGCGGCTCCAAGTTATTAGAGAATAGAATTTGTGTCTTAGCTTCACTTACTTTAAGTCCCGAGTCGGCACAAAAACGATCAAGCACCTGTGCGAGGATAGCGGCTTGATCATCCGTGGCCTCCAAAAAGAGGAGTAAATCATCAGCGAACATCAGGAACGGCACGTTGACGGCTCCCCGCCCAACCGAAATCGGGCGCCAAGCACAGTCCTCCACCGACTCACAAATCCTTTGCGCCAAAAAAACACTCTGATATTTTCTAAGACGCTAGTATTATTTCTTCTTTTCCGCTTAACCCGCGTTTTTTTTTTCTTGGTCAATCTCTTAGTTAATTTTTTTTTATATATTTTTATTTTGCTCAATGTCCCAAAATATATATTAGGATACATAATGAAAAGTATCCCAAAAAAATGTGGCCCAATATACCTCTTTTGTTGTAGTGGTTAAACCTCAAATTTTGATTTCAAAGTAAATAATTTATACGAACCAAATTACGAAGCACAAAATTTTGATTCCAAAGTAATAATGTATGTACAATCTTATGCTCGTTTTGAATTAGTACATATAAGGAATGTATAGATTATATTTTTATTAAAAAAATTAATTGAAAAATAAATATATGCACGTGTACTCGACTAAGAAAAACAATCAACCAAAGTGATATTTATTTGGGAAACCGGAAATGCTACGTTTCCTATTTATTGAATTATCGCTTGAGCGTTGGTGTGTGATTACTGATTAGTGGAAGGGAAGAGCGTGAGGAGTAAGCCGATGGAATCCTGGTTTGTTTTCGTCATCTCACTCTGCATCTTAGCCCTTGCTAAATCCATTTCCACTCTCTTCTCCTCCACCAAAGAGCAAAACCTTCCGCCGGGACCCCCAAGCATACCGCTCGTCGGCAACCTAATATGGCTCCGGAAGCCAATCTCCGATCTGGAGTTCGTCCTCCGCAACCTTAAACCCAGGTACGGTCCCCTCATAACCTTGAGAATCGGCCACCGCCCCTTTATATTCGTCGGAGATCACTCGCTCGCTCACCACGCACTAGTCAGCAACGGCGCTATTTTCGCCGACCGCCCTGCCCCGCCGCCCACCAGGAAAGTGTTCAACAGATCCCAGATAGCTATCAGCTCCTCATCCTATGGGCCCACGTGGCGCCTACTCCGCCGCAACCTCAGCCACGAAATCCTCCACCCCTCCCGCGTCAGGCTCCACTCCACCTCCCGCCGCTGGGTCCTCTCCCTTCTAATCACCCGCCTCCAAGTCCACGCATCATCGTCAGATTCCTCCTCAGTGAGGCTTATCGATCATTTCCAGTATGCCATGTTCTGCCTGCTGGTTTTGATGTGCTTTGGGGATGAGCTTCAGGAGAGTCAGATCAAGGAGGTCCAAGGCGTGCAGACCCGTCTCCTTTTGGGATTCCGCAGATTCAATGTCCTCAACATGTGGCCTCGACTAGGGAAGATTTTCTTCCGCGGGCGATGGAAGGAACTAATCCAGATGCGCCAAGACCAGGACAGAGTATTGATTCCACTCATTAGGTCTCGTCTGCAGTCCAAACAAACAAGGAAAACAGATGAAGCAGTGGCTTACGTGGACACACTGGCGGATTTGCAGCTTCCGGAAGAAGACAACAGGAGATTAGACGAAGAGGAGATGGTGGGGCTTTGTGGTGAATTCCTGAATGCGGGTACGGACACCACATCCACAGCTCTACAGTGGATCATGGCGAACTTGGTCAAGCACCCACGCATTCAGGAAAAGCTTTACCATGAGATAACTGGTGTTGTCGGTCAAAAGTCACAGCAAGTAGTTGAGGAGGATGAGCTGCAGAAAATGCCATATCTTAAAGCTGTGGTTTTAGAGGCCCTGAGGAGGCATCCTCCAGGCCACTTTGTTTTGCCGCATAAGGTTACACAAGATGTTGAGTTGGCCGGTTGCTTGGTCCCAAAGAATGCAGTTGTGAATTTCATGGTGGCTGATATGGGTTGGGACCCTAAGGTTTGGGAGGATCCATTGGAATTCAAGCCCGAGAGGTTCCTGGGGGAGCAGTTTGATATAACTAGTAGCAGAGAGATCAAAATGATGCCTTTTGGTGCTGGCAGGAGAATATGCCCGGGATCTGCATTGGCTCTGCTTCACTTGGAGTATTTTGTTGCCAATTTGATTTGGCACTTTGAGTGGACGTCTCCTCGAGGACATCAAGTTGACCTCTCTGAGAAGCAAGAGTTCACTACCGTCATGAAGACCCCACTGTGCGCTTGCATCTCTCCTCGAAATCACACTGCCATCTTACTCTAGAAGCATATTTTTATGTATGTATACTATTATATTATGAATCAGCTCTAAATAAAAACTTGTTGGTTATGACTCATAAAATTATTATGAATGTATATCATAATTTGCTGCCTGTATTAATGAATTTTATATGTTTACCATACTCCAGCAATTTGGTGCATAGCCACCCCATTCTGCTTTTCCATTTGACTTCAGTAATGCTATATCTGCATGCCTCCTATTATTTTTCATCTAGCTCATTACAACAACTGGTCCTTGAATTATATAATTTGGTAAGTCTTGTTAAGATATGTTCTGGAACTAAGCGAGGCCTCCTTAAAAGAACCATCCTTGGTTTTTTTATTCCCCTATATTTATCTATTTAAATACCTGCAAGCTGAATGGTGGTATATCAGCCACAGTAGAATGCAGAAGCAATTGGCTGATGAGTTTTCACGTCATAAGTTGTTATAATTTATAAGAGAAAATATTTGAGATAATCCCAGAGAAAAAAAAATCTGTAGCGTAAGTGGAAAGACAATTTTAGGAGAGCTTGGATCATCGTTTATGCTCTTTTGTGTTTCTCTTTGTACATTTACACCCTTTTTCTGGACACTTTATGCCCGTTTGCTTTTTGTTTGTTTTCAAGAGTTCTTTTTATTGTCGACACTTGAGTCGTTCGTTCCCTACTTCCGTTGGGTTCCATCTAATGTTTCATGCCTGGACAGAGTATGCAGAAATAGTTATTCATTTCATTCAAGAATTGTCCTGTGGGAGCTTGCCATAGACCTGCTAACAGGATCAGTTAGTTATTAATTACCCTGTTAGTTACCTAAGTGCAATTTGCGGAAAGATTTTGCAATGGAAGTTAAGTGGGTTACCTACTCTTTTACAGTAATACATGGGGAATTAAAAATTAAAATATTTCCCCTCTCTCCACAATAGCAAATTATAACTAGTAGCCACTAGCATTTAATACATGTCTCTCGATTGAAGATAATGGTATGCAAAATCCATATGTCTAAATTCCAGTAAAAAAACTTCAAAAGTTAGCTAAATCCTCCGTTGTAGTGATATTTAAGATCAAATAGTTTGCCTTTCATGGAGTTCCAACAACTGCAGCCTGACAGTGGAAATTGGGTGCTGTATTAACTATCTACCAGAAGCACGATTTTGGACATAATTCCTGAGGGAAGGTGATTGGGTAAGAGCAAATGGAGTGACTGTAGTATTCTGGCTAGCATTTTTTTGTTGCATTCTTCGTCGTGCCATATAACCACGAACCCAAGGGGTGACATCCTCGTTAACTTTGATCATGATGAAGAAGATAATCCTATAAATTATAATCATGCTCAAGAGAACACTTAGATCCACCCATTTTGATCTCTGCATATCAATCTGGAAAACATTTTGTAAGATATATTCTCCTGGAATCTTTGGAAGATCAGGTGACTGATTGTCAAAGACTAAGCCTTTTAGATCATTCTGGTACTGCCCCTGAGGATATATTATGTTGTTTTATGTCAGGAATTTGTTATAAATTCATCATTTATTCATCATAAATATGAGGAGCGTAAAATTCTTGTACTCACCTGCAGAGCCCAGAAGTGGAAACTTATGTAAGACATTGGGTAACGCCAGAAAGGTTTTGGGATGTCCTTCGGAAGTCGGAAGTAGCCAGAGACGAGCATAAATATTCCCTAAGGAAATAATGAAAATCAAGAAAATTAAATATGATTAAGAAAGATGGAATCTGATTCAAATGTGAGGTATACCATTAACATTATCTTTCTTTTCGATAATTTTCAGCGAACAAGAATTACGCACCTGTATTCCAGCCCCAATGATGATACCCATAAGGAAATTAGGAACAACACTGGCAATAGCCATCATGAGGCTCTCAACCACAGTAACACTCGCGTAAAGGCACAATATGAAGAATAAATAGTGTGACAAGCCTGGGTGGAGGCGTACCATGAAGTAGCACACAGTACCGGATATGAAGGTGATTAATATCAGAAAAGGCATTGCAGACAATGTGTTGCTAATCACAAAGGCAGTAACTCCATAGTGCCCATTAAGTCTCTCCCTTTGGAAAACCTGGACAAAAACAATGACCAATTTTTAATGTCCGATTTCTCATTTCCTTGGTTTTCTACTTCTCCCTTTTCCATTAACAAAATAATTGTTGTCTTTTTTCTTTTCCTGTTGAACAATGAAACTAGCCAGGCTGTGTACCTTCATATCTTCCACAAACGAAGGGAATCCACCAATGGACATAAAAGTCACAAAACCAAAAACGAAAGATGCACACGCACCCCTTGCCTGTAAATAATCAGGTATTTAGATTATAAGTTGCATTGAAAATTCAGGAATCCAAAATAAACTTTTTTCTGCTATAGAATTTCTGTAATTCATAAGAAGTGTGTTCCAAAACACTTCTACTAGAAAGCCATTGAATAACTGTCTATTCCAAACACTAGATTGCTTTAAGAGGAGAGTTTATGAAGGCTATTCTGTCAGATGTTAATCACTTTACCAGGATTGAATTGTAGCTTGTTCCGACATTCAAATAAATGGTCCCAATGCAAATTGTGACCACGACATAGATAACGAGCCTCAGCCAGTAATAACCAAAGTCTCTTGACATATTAACGAATGAGCGTGCGGTTAAGGTAGTAGCCTGCATGAAGAAACTTGCCTGGCTCCCTCCAGAATCTAGCACAGTTCCTTTCTATAAGAAAAAATAATGAGCCCATCTAGCTATACGAGCAAGTTTAGCTTATTAAACGATGGGAAATTTTACTGAACAAGGCTCACAATTTTGGATATCTCCTCAATTCTTTCTTTTGCTGAATAACAATACTGAGAAGCATGATAAGAGTCAACCAGCGTCCGAATAGCTTCTGTCGTGGTTACTTTTTCCATAGGATCGTCAGTAGCCTCAAACTGATGGACATGCCAAACACAATATTGAATTAGATGAGTAGAGGTGTAAAAGCCACTCCTTTCTGTTTCACTGTATGCTTCTTTTTGTTTCTCGGAAAGCAGTGGATTAGTGCTGAATTTCTCCTATATATACTTTGATGGGACTCAAGAAGAGAGCGACTAATGACTAATGTATCTTCAAAAAGTTATAAAATGTTTCGGAAAAATAATGTATGGATTTCATATACATCAGAAGGGAAAAAAGTTTAATGTACACATATAGATTTTTGGAGGATATGGATGTGTTGCACAGAAATTGTGGAGTTTGCGGGGGTAGAATGAACGTTATTAGGAAACCATCAACACACATGATGAAAAAATAAATTTTAAGGGGCTAGTTAATATAATTTGGCCAAACTTCATGGATGGTTCTAGCAATCTTCAGTTTTTTGTATAAAGTTATATATTTCATAATTGAAATGAAATTGAATCTGTAATCAACCTAGGAAACCACAGTATGATTTCACATCATCTTGGGATTTTGTTGTGGCTAATTGGAAGGAGCAGGAGAAGAAATACCATTTTGGTGCATACCTTTATTTTCATGGATCCTTTCAGTGTAGCTTTAACCTTGTCAAAATCAGAGTTGATGCAACGGAGGAAATGATCAGAGGGGTTCCGTAAAGCTGGACATGGAAAGCCAGCTTGAGCAAAAAACTGCATATATACACCATTACAAACATTTAAGGTTAAAGTTCCATGCGAAGGAAAACAAGAAGTGAAAGAATTGTTGCCTCGTATGCTTCGGAAGCCTGGCCAAAGTAAACGGTTTTTCCACCAGAAAGTAAGTATAATCTGTCAAACAGCTCAAAAACTTCACTACTGGGCTGGTGAATGGAGGCTATGACTGTTCGGCCATCTCTGGACAGCCCACGCAAAGTCTGGGTGACGAAGAATGCTGATGCGCTGCCAAAGTATTTACACACTAAGGTAACTATTCAATCAATCATGAGTGATTATCCTATTTATGTAGATCGATCATATATACCTGTCAAGACCACTGGTGGGTTCATCAAGAAAAAGTAACCTTGGTCTCATCAGGATCTCCACAGCAATGCTAACCCTTCTTCTTTCTCCACCACTCACACCACGCAAGTGCCAATTGCCGATGACTGTGTCTGAGCAATCTTGAAGTCCCATCTCAATGATTGTGCTCTCGACCAGTGCCCGTTTGTCTGCCCACGGCATTCTGTCCGGCAGTCTCAGCCGGGCCGAATATGATATTGTTTCACGAACCGTCAGGGTGCCGATCAAGTTGTCATCTTGCGTTACATAGGCCTGCATATATATATATACACACATATATATATATATATATATATATATATTAATAAGTAGTTAAGCAGGTCAAAAATATTAATGGCGATACAGGTACAGGTACTGACAGCTGTCCCGAACGATAAGTTGGCCTTGCGGCCATTAAGCAGAATTAGCCCAGAAAGGAATGCATTGGCAGCAAGGCGGCCAGAAAGGGCATCGAGCAACGTGGATTTTCCGGAGCCGGAAGGGCCCATGAGAGCAGTAAAGGATCCAGGCTCAGCATACCCACTCAGTCCCTCCAAAACATTCTGAGAGTCTCCATTGCTGAGGGTGACGGTTACCGTTAGATCTTTCCAAGCCAGCCTGGCCGACACGTCACCCACAAATTCTGTGTAGGTTCTCTCCTTCCACAGGCTTTCACTCAAAGGGCTAAGCCCTCCAACAACCAGACCATTTGTTTGTGGCTTGTGGGCCTCTATCTCCATTACTACTTCCTCTGCACCTGCTGCTGCTGACGATGATGAGCTCTTCATTGGTCGGTCCATCTCCTATCCTTTCCTTTTCAAGACAAAAAAAAAAAAAAATGATTGTCAATAAAAATTAATCAAATATATGTATATTCTAGTGAAGTGGATAAAACTTCTGCTTAACTTGTGAAGGTAATTGGGAAATGGGTTTTATATGAAAAACGCTAAAGTTGTGAGCTTGACTGGAGAGGTTGCTCATGAGATGAATGTCGCTAAGAAATTTGGTCTGCCCGTTGTTTCTAAATTAATCAATCAATCACACATGACCAATATGCATGTGTCTTTTTGTTATTATCCGAGTTAGTTATCCATCTTCATCTTCTCAACAGCTAGCTTGCACACATATGTTGGACTTTAATTAAGTCTCAAAAGTTTTTCAAGTATGGATTATATTGTGATGAATCAATGTGAGTGGAAAAACTAACTAAAATTAGGTTTCGGGGTTGGGGTTGGGGAGAAGGATGGATCTCATCTCCCTACCCTTCCATTGATGTTATTGTAATGTGCACAAGCAATGCCGATTATTAATGCTTACAGGTAGATGTTGGTAGGAAGCATTTAATGCAAACCCACCGAATTAAAATGGTGAGTTACTGACTACTTGTATGCTTACACTATAGTAGGAGGAGGTTGGCACACAAATATTGTTAGGCTTTACCTTCACATGCCATACTTTTTTTAACACTTAATTCCTTTACCTTTATGTCAAACCTTAATTTGCGAGCTTGGATAAATCGGACCTTTTGTTCAAGTTTTAATATGTTGCAATTAACTCTGACTCTAGATAACGTTGACTTGTTGACATTTAGCAACTATGGTTTTGCTATGAAGCCAACAGGTGATTCCATATTAGAGCCACTCTTCTATATACAACAAGTAAACATACCATATTTTCTGATTATTTAAATAACACTAATATAATTTTATTAATATGGTATGTTTATTTATTGTATATATAGAAGGTTGGCTCCACTATGGAGCCAACTATTGGCTTCATAGCAAAACCGTTAGCAACTATGCCTAAGGCTATATGAAAGACAACATTATTAATACACTTGTTAAAAAATCTTTTTAACTCGTTGATCCCATAAAACATAATCATCGTGGAGCTCTTAAAATGGGGAAGGGACCCAAAAGGGTAGAGGCTAAGCACATCCTAGCTGCTAAGTGCTAAACACACTCTAATTTAGGGGAATAAATATATTAATTAACTAGATACGCGAGGAAAACAGAAAATCAGGCTAATGGATTGCTACATGATGGAGTGTAAGTGTAACATAGAGAAATGTTGTATGATTGTGATAAAGATTTTGATGTATACAGTGAGTGGTTACAGGGGATGATTTATATCTCAACATTCAAGCCGTCTTGTAAAAAAGGTATGGTGAAATCGCAATATACATCAAATTGTGCACAAAATACATTATTTATAATTTACATAAGTTGCACACTTATGTACATACATCGGTTGTATTACAATTTTTTTTTTTCCATATTATAATTTGTTGTCCTCAATATAACAATGGCAAACAAGCCACAAACATTTTGTGTTACTACACATCGTCTAGTCATGGATTTGAGAGGCATGCATGCATAAAGACAAGCTCCTAATTACTTGATGATGATGATGTCAGCATGTAATAATTCTGCTTAGCACTTGGCTCATTTGTGGCCTCCTCTCCGGCAGTTCATCAGTACAGTCAAGTGCAATCTCAGTGAGTTTGAGCATCTCATTGTATCCTTGGTTCTCCCCAAGTATGTCAGCATCCAATATATCTGTCGACCAATCATAGCTCACCGTCCATTTCACCCATCCGGAAAGATCTCTTCGACTCTTATTAGTAGGCTTAATGTTATAGCCATCTAATGGTGACGGGCCTCCCAGTGGTAGTGGAGAAGGCGATGATGGGACTTTGCCCGTCACTATTTCTAACACAAGAATTCCAAAGCAGTACACATCAGCCTTTCTCGTTGCTTCCTTATTATTATGATTATTGTTTATGAATTCTGGTGTTTGTCCCATAGATAGCTTATGTGCTGGCACCAGAGGCAACAATCCATAATCCGTCAGCTTAGCTCGTATGAAATTAGCATTGATGTCGTTTTTGTCATCGCGTGTGAATTGAATGAGGACATTGGAGGATTTGAGGTCTCCGTGGGGAATCCTCTGACGGTGGAGATATTCTAGGCTTGTTGCTACATCTCTAATGATGCGTACCCTTGTATTCCAATCCAATCTCATCATACAATTCGCCCTTGGATCTACAAGTTTCCACCATAATTAATAATGAATAACTTTGTATTGAGATGGGAAGAAACAAGAAAAAAAAAAAAAAAAAGTATATCAAGTTGTATGTACAAACCGTGGAGTAGGTTGAATAAACTGCCGCAGGGTACATATTCGTACACAATGAGCTTCTCCTCCCTCGTGTGGCAAAAAGAGATGATCTCTGCCAGGTTTTTGTGCTTCTTGTTCCCAAGAAGTTGCATATGTTGCACAAATCCCTTTCTGCTCAATGTGTACGTTTCTTCAAGTTTTTTCACTGCCACCACAGAGCCACACTCAAGCATGGCTTTGTATGTTGTGCCCAATTTACCCCTTCCAATCTCTTTGGCAGATGCTCGCAACAAATCATCCAAGTCAAACGTATTATTATAACTATTATTCTCCACAAAATCCATTTCCAGACTACTTTCTTGGTCATCCCTCCTCTCTAACAAACGTGATCGTGTTCCTTTGGGCTGCTCTATTCGAACCTCTAGTGCGATAATCAGTAAAAACAACTTTGATCAGTCAACAGTAGCAATTTAATGAAATCAAATTTTGGCGAGTACTAATTGAGGTATATTGAGTAGTTTACCTTCTAGCTCCTGATCATCGTTGGCTTTTTCCCTGCAAGCTGATCCTCTGTAACAACATAGAGATATCAATATCACGACGGACATCAAAAGAGCAAGGGCAAACGCGGTTGCAATTAGAGCAATACTCCATAACTCAAGACCACCATGTTCACCATCTCTTGATCGAGCTGGAGAAGGATTGGGTGCTGTGCCTGGAGCGGCGGGCATAGCGGTAATTGGAAAAGGTCTCAATCCAGGAATAACTCCAACACACAGGTCTGGATTTTCTGCATAAGAGCTGTTTGTAAACCTTTGGAGCACAGGAGCTTCGGGAATCGACCCTCCAAGTTTGTTGTGGTGAGATGTTGAAATCAATCAAGGATTTCTGGAAGGCTGTGTATATTGCAGCTTCTGGTGGAGGTGATCAAATTAAGTTGAGAAAGAAGTGGATAGAGATGAGAGGATTCTTCATCTGGCCACAAGTCAAACCCATTTGAATGCTTATTTTAACAAGATTAACTGACAAAATATGGAGGTACTTCTTGATTGTTTTAAAAGATTCTAAATCAAACAATTTTATAAAGAGTGACGTCAGAAGGGGGAGCGGGCACGCAATAGGAAATGAATTGTCCTGCTTACAGCTTAAATAGAGAAGGTTGGTCAATTCTTTTAGTGCATGAGCTGTGCAGGAGAAGTTGAATAATTTTACCAACTCCCAAAGAGTTGACATTGGTATAAGCAGCATTCACATATCAACTTTGGTGGCAAGGACAGTGAATAGGTCAAACAAGGGCATACAAAAAAATATATGGAAAGCTTTAACTATATTCCATGAATCATTCACCATCATCAGAACTTTTATATGCTGCTAACAAACTTTGAACTGAGTTAAGTTATCCGATTTCCTCTCGTCTCCCACTTTGCTGAATGTATTGGGAGACTGAACTTTATATTTTTTCATGTTGGTCCATAGGATGATGTTTCTTAGAAGACTGACCTCTCAGAGCTGGAGAGGATTGAGTGATGTCTGAATGGTAACATACATTCTGCAGCTTTGACTTCACTTCCACCACTCCTCTTTACCAAGTCCTGCTGTTTGAGACAGTTTAATTTTATTAGAAAAGTCACGAGAGAGAGAGAGAGAGAGAGAGAGAGAGAGAGAGATGATTCCATTCTTTGGCTTGGCCACAGACTTGTGATTAACGATCAAGGAAATGTAAACAAACTGCATAGCTGCTACGTGACTAATCAAGGCATTTCACAGATATATACTTTATCTCCACAAAGTCAGTCTAACTAGTGGCAAACAAACAGAGATTACGAGTTGGAAAATTCAACTCACTCCACCATACGACATTGCTATTGAGAAAGAGAATGAAACTTCAATTAAGGCACTTCAATCATCATTCCTATATTTTGCAACATGAATAAACAGACATCCTACAAAATTTAACCTCAAGAAGCAAGGAGTTTCATTAACTGAACAAATTAGAAAAAAAGACCAGTGCTTCTCATTTGTTAGTGTTGTACAAGAGTAACAAAAAGGATAAAGAGAGGTATGACACTAGATTGATTAATTCATTGAGCCTGCAAGTCTTCTTCCCACAAATAAATAAATAAATAAAGGATATCGACACTATATCCTTCCCACATTTCTTGTCAACCTTGACAACCGTGTGCTGGAAGGTAATTTCTTTATCATCGACTCTATATCCTTCCCCCATTTCTTGTCTGCAAATCCGCACCATAACATGCAACATTAAAAAGGAAATCATGTTTTTACTATTCAGCAACTATGTACCTTTAGGATCAGTAAGATTTGTGCACTCGCGAGCTTCCCTTCCGTCCATTTCCCACAAACTCCGGCTTATTTATTCCACTGTTTCTGTAATTTTGATGAAGAGCTGGAAGCCTGGAACGAAGAGAGACAAAAGGCCGAGAGAGAAAAGCCCGCGAAATAAACCCGAGTAGAGTAGAGTACTGAGGCCATCTCCAGCCCTTATCTCTACTCTAGCGCGGACTTTACTCTACTCTAGAGTAGAGTTGAACATTCATCTCCAGCCCTTATCTCTACATTTTACTCTACATTAAATATATTATTTTTTTATTCATTTTTTATTTCAAATAAATTGGTATATATGTATATTTAATTTTATATAAAATGTTAATTACTCAAATAATAAAAATATATTTTATTTATTTTTATTTCGAATAATTTTCTATATATATGAATATGTAATATTATATAAATGTTTATTACCCAAATAGTAAATAAAAAAAAAATTATGGTTTACACACTAGACCATATATGGTTTAGACCATATATGAATTAGTGCAAATTTACACACTAGACCATATATGGTTTAGACCATATCTTCACATTTAAAAAATAATTGTAATAAATTGAAACTCTTAAAGAAGATACATATACATCTATGTACCGATTGAATCAAAACTGTTACTTTTGAAAATATATGATTACACACTAGACCATATATGGTTTAGACCATATATGAATTAGTGCAAATTTACACACTAGACCATATATGGTTTAGACCATATCTTGTGCAAATTTTATTATGTATATATATGATCTTAGCCATTGATCTTTAGATTGTTGTTTTTATTTGTGTGTTTAGTCATTTTTAATCATGTTGTTTTTATTTATGTTCTATGATTTATGTGTGTTGTAACTTTAATTTTAATGAAATAAACTTGTTTGAGTGTGTTAAATTTTTATTCATATGGTATCATTTTAATATTAAAAAATTACAAAATAAAATTACAATACATCAATAAATAAAAAACACAAAATTATTTAGCATAAAAAATACATTACACAAATTATTTAGCATAAAAAATACATTTACTAATACACATTATACAAAAATTTATTAATAATAATACACAAAAAAACAAAAAAAAAATATAATTGTAGAGTCGAGGAACAGTGTTGCGCCACATCTGGCGCAATACTGTTCCCGACTCTTATCTGGCATAAAGTTTCATCGACGCACTGGAGCAGAAACCATCGCTACTCCAGCGCAAAACACCATATCTGGCGCAGCGCCGGAGTGGCTCTGAGTATATGGCTGGCTGAGTGGGCTCCCAACTTTTGAAAATAGTTCAGCCAGTTTAAGTTACTTGGCCCTGGGGCATATGGATTCGAAAATTATAAGTTTATAACAGGATTTGATTATTGAAAAAAAATTATTATAGATTTATTATTATTATTATTTTGATTGGTTATTTTAGCTAATCATATTTAATTAGTACAAATTAGAAAGCTTTTACAAAAAATATTAAACTTTTTATTTTTTTAAAAAACATAATTTAGTTTTATATAAAACATTACTTTGGGTTTTATATAAATTGTCAAATTATATTTTTTTAATCATAATAATTAAACACTCGTACATTAAATGAAAATATCAACCGTGTTGATTTTTTTTACTTATATCATATAAAAATATCGATATTATTTACTATTACATAAGTACAAAAATATATATATATTAAATAAATAGAAATAATATGGTGATATGTATATGCATAAGTATATAATATGTTTGTTTAATATTAAACAAAATAGATTAATTTTTTTACTTAATTAGATGTCTAATACATCAAGTGTCGTATCAGTCGTGCTTCACAGTTTTTTAACTTTATATGTAATTTTAGAATTTAGATAAATAATTATTTATTTTTATTAGATTGACAACATACCAATTAGATTTGAAATAAATATCATTTTTAAAATAATACATACCAATTTCTATTACTTTATAATATTATTTATAGTTTTATTTTATATAATTTAATTTAGTTTGATAAATAAATTTAAATTTTATTTATAAGGATATATATTACTTTTTTGTATTTTATATATATAATATGGATGTCAAATCGAAAATTCTTAAAAGATAGTTAATTTGATATATCATATATGAAAAATAAAATACAAACAAAAAAGTTATAAAATCTTAAAATAAGAAGAAGAAACATTTATAAAAAGTAATGAATGAATTATAAGAAAATGAAATGTGATGTATGGTAATGTAGGAAAATGAAATATAAAATATTTATGGTAACTAATTGTAGAAGTAAAAAAAGAAAAAATTAATCATGGATTTAGTGTAATATATTAATTTATATCCAAACCTAACTCCAAAGTATGATTTTTTGTCAAATAGGATTTTGAACATGAGAGTTTGCCACGTAGACTCAGCGCATTATGAAATTATATATAGAGAGGATTTTGAAAAAGTTAGTTAAGTCAAGTTTGAATGGGATTTTAAATTTATATTAAAATAATATTTAAATGATTAAACTATTAAAGTTGTTTTGATGTAAAAGTAAAAAAATAAAGTGATTGGAAGTGTTATATAGCTAAAATTATGTGAGCGGATGAATAGTTAATTAAAATTGATTTAATATGTAAATATGATTGATTGATATTTATTTAATTATATGATAATATTGAGAATGGTAGGGGTTGAGTTAAAACTTAAATGTGAGTTATATTTGAGTTTGAATTGATTTTTTTTTTTTGGAAAATTTATAAACAAGCAAGCTCTTAGTATGCACTTTTTTTTCATATTAATTTAAAATATATTAATATATATTTTTTATGTTATATATGTATATTCATATTTCCTATTACAATAATTCGTAATTGTCGTTCCATATGCACGATATTAGTAGGCAAAGGAAAAATTTCTGAGTTTACCAAGCTCCACCGTCCCAATTCGGCCCATGATATCCACCACAACGAGTTCACTTCCCTTTATCTTTAGGGCTGCCACTAAAAGTTGTTAAAAGAAACGAGACGTTTGTGAGTTCGGCTCGACTCGTTAAGGTTATAGTTCAGCTCGACTCGTTTTTATTGACTCGATAAGACTTGAAAAGATAATTTTTATATATATTTTTTATAGTAACTCGTGAAAGCTCAAGATTGACTCGTTAAAGCTTAAACTCACCGAGCTCGATATTCGAGGCTCATTTAAGACTCGGCTTGCATAATAAATTATTTGACCTATCTATTATAGTAAATAATAATAATAATACTAATAATAATGATAATGATGCGTCATAATATTTAGAAAACAAAATGTCCATAAGAAATTATAAACTTGTATCCTAATAACAAAGCTTATGATTGGGGATCTCTAATTTTAATCCGAATAAAACAGATAAAAGGGACTGAGAGTTTCTTGAATCTCTTGTCTGCCTCCTCTGTCATTTGTAAAATCTGAAGAAACCCAAAATATTTTCGTCTCCACAAATCTCTCCGCCACAGAGCCCCGCAGCCGTCATCTTTCAGCCGGATCTACCTTATTTCTTGTTCTGCTCATATACATACACCCCCTCCAAAGTACTGCTTATTCATTCATATGTACACGACCATACTTTCTGCTATTGGGTGGCTGTAAATTCTTGGAGAACCAATCGATCATTCTTTTTTTATTGGGAACAGAGAAAAGGAATGGATTTGGACCAGTGGATAACAAAGGTGAAAGATGGCCAGCACTTGTCCGAGGACGAGCTCCAGCTCCTCTGCGAATACGTAGCTACTTCTCCTGCTTCTTACCTTTTCATTTTCTTGCATCTTTCTTTCGTTTAATTTCGGCTCTCCATGTCGATTTTCCAAGAGAGGAAGGACAAAACGAGAAGAAAGATCACATTTTGTCCTTGGATTTTTGGAGTTAGGGTTTTGCTTTGACCATTTCTTTTTTCTATGGCCGAGGGCTGGGTTTTGTAAGTGCTGCTTTGTACAAGTTGCACCTAGGTTAGGGTTTTAGGATGGCTCTGCAGTCAACCGAGGGTGGTAATAGTGTGTGTCAATTTGCATCAGATGGGTGTCTTTCTAGGTGCTTGTTACTTTCTTCAATTGCTACTTGACTTGATTTTCCCTGCTTAATGCACGGTAGCTTGTTGACATTATGTACCTGAGATTAAGTTGGGATGAAGTGATAAAGCCATGCAGATATGTTTTCAATAGGATACCATGACAAGTCGAGCATCTATAAGCTTGTATGAAGGAAAATTATTCAGCTGGCATATTTTTATAAAGACTTGTAATAACTCTTCACTGTTTCTTTTTAATTATCATTATTTAAAGGAAATCATATTTCTCTCTCTCTCTCTCTTTTTTTTTTTA